AATGACCTTCGTGAGACACACTACGGGTGTCTTGCAAGAAGCAGGAACTGCTTACCCTTTTGGCCGGAGCACCGGAGGTCGCCACATTGTTTTCTGGGTCCGTGTTTTTCATCTGTATTTAGTTTTCAATGTTGAATGTTTTTGTTTCTCCTTTTGTGTCTTATCTGTTCACAGGTTTGTCAATTGTCCATTGATTAACGCTTCGGTTGTCGACTCTTCCTGATCTTCCCGTTTTATAATTTTTTTTTATATTTGAAAATAACCATGTTAATAATATAAGCAGCAAATTACGGAACTCACTAGACTTTTACTATCGTTTCATGAAAATATGGTATAGTAAGAAACAGATAGGGTATTTTTCATGTTCAAAGCAGTCACTGTAATTACTCATATGCCCGGAGCTTCATGGGGATTCGCTTCCCTAGACCACCGTCTACGGTGCTGCCCTGAATCCCCGACTAGGGTGCTATCCTTGACAAGCTGGGGACTTTGGGCGGTCCAAAGCCTCCTCCCTTGCCGAATCACTATAAAGTCCACAAGTATTCACAAAATAGGAGTTTGGGCGTGAATGTGATGTAAATTTCATAAGCATGGCATACCGGGAAAATGCCCGAAAAAAGTTATCATTTTCTGCATAAAATGGTCCAAAAAAAATTATGATTGCACTTTATTTAAGTCCAGCTACGCCCGTGGTAGGTTGTGGAGTTGCTGTTGTATGACCTGAAGCTGGCGAGAAGAGGACAGTTCTTTCTCCAGTGGCCTTGCTGCTTGCAGTAGTGGCACATGTCGAGTGAGCAATGCTCACGCCTTTCGAAGCTCCCACGAAAGGGCGGCTGTTGTGTACGTTGATAATGCTGAGCATAAGCAGGGTTACCATAAGATTCTGCAGGTTGTTGACGAGGCGGAATTTTAGGGTAAGGTTACTGGCGAGATTTAGACTTCTCCTTAGAGGTACGGATAGCTCTGGTCTCAGCTTGGCGTATCTTTCTCTCATCTTCAGAATCTGAAGCCACGGCATTGGCTTCATATTCCTTTACGGTTCCCCACCAAGCAGGGGAAGAATCAGCTATGCAAATTTTCTTCTTACGCCTCTAAGCTTATCTGTAAGATCAAGAACTAATCTATAGGCTTGCGTATTAGAGGAAGGGATGAATTTGGACAGTTTGTTTACAGTTTCTAATAATTCCTCGTTAAAAGTGTATTGGATTCTGTTACCTTCACCCTTGAACTTTAAAGTGACGTCTTCCTTAATCTTTCTCTTAAGGCTGACTTGCTCTTGGATGAGTTCTGACTTCAACTCATCTAATTTGCTGTCTAAGATAGTCTTGAAAAGCTCTACGGTATCAACCAAATCAGACGACTTATCAGCTGCTGTAGGAATCTTAGGTTGCGGTATATCTCCTGCAAGTAGTAGCTAGGTCTTCGTTCAATTCTAGACGGAGACGATTCGGACATTTTACCAGTTGACAATTTACGAAAACGATACTGTACTGTCGGATAGGAGAACCTCGAATGACAATTCTAGACTATAATACTATAATTTAGCGCTTAAATTCTAGCATGAAGTTATCATGATTAATGTTACCTAAACCGGTAATAACTTACTGTTTGTCCAATCAAATTAAACATAAACATGTTTTGATTTGAACACACGTGCTTAAAGTAAACAAATACACGTGTCCCCGAGTAACCTTTATAAATACATCTGCTTACTCCAATCGTAATATAGCACATGGGTGTTTATTTGTGCTAGAAGGATAGCTGCCTCATTCTTTATTTTGAAAGGGGGAGATTATTCCAAAGGGGTGGAATCAAAAACCAATTAAAGAGGATTGATCAAAGAAAAAAAATGAAAAGACATAAAATTGAGAATGGAAATGGGGAATGTGTAAAGAGACAATAACCCGACCAAAGTGCAGAAAACAGCCCAAGGCCACCAATGGGTCTTTAACACAGCGAGAAAATCCCGCAACCGGAGGCGGGCTTCAGCTGGCTGCTATACATGTATAGAACCGTAAACAGAAAATATAAAATTGAAAGAACGAACCCTACCAAAAAATGGGTTGAAATCAAGTACTCCAGAGGACTTTTGGTATGCAGTTCCTGTTTCGTGTGTGAAAGACGACAGAGGGAAACAAAAAAAAAAAAAAACGATAAGGAGTTTAAGCACACGAGTATGCACAATATATATTATCAGACAAATTTGAAAATGGTGTCTATATGCATACTGTAACTCGCAATCAAATTACCTTAATCCTGAAACATAATCAAATACTGCGTTCGTGGCAAATATTACCGAACCATGAACCAACCTAATGGCGGATTTAGGAGGCGTAGATGGTGTACGCCCTCGTCCCCTTTTGATTCAAACGTATATCATTTTTTCTCAAAAAAATCGTTCACAATTTTTTTGTCGACTCGCTACTCTCGTCTGTATATATTTCAGTTTTCTAAATTACGACCCTGATAAAAAAATCCTGGGTCCGCCCCTGAAAGCAATCATTTGAGCCTATATTTTGTGTAGTGCACATTTTGATGATTACTGTAAAGAAGTCACCTTGTGAGCACGAACTGTTCTTTTTGCTGTATAGTCATACGTGTCACTGCATGCTAAGGTGTCCTGACTAAGTTGAAACTTTATTCTTCGTTAAAGACTATTACCAAATGAGACTTATTGTCGGATCGTCGGATGTGTTCTGAGCACCAAAACGTGTTCCACAAGTGGTACCATTACGTTTATCAGGTGCAGATCCAGGATTTTTTTTAAAAAGGTGGCTGAAAAGACAACATTTGGAGTGGGACTTGTAAAAAATCAATGCATTAACCATGCATGGAGCTATGTAATAGGGCGAGCCCCAGCCTCCACCTAAATCCGCCTCTATTTACCCTTCGTGAACATTATTTAGATTTACTCCCTCCTTAATTTCCCACCAGGTTTTTTTGGGGTTGCCTAATTATGATATTATATGTCAGTCGTCTTTCCTTTTCGTCAGTCTAATTAAAATATAGAACTCTGATTTCGTTATACTCATATGGAGTATCAGAGTTCTATATTTTAATTAGACTGTCCTTTTCGTCTGACAAAGGTTTTGTGCACCCTTATCAATGTGTTATCCTCGAAGCTCCTTGTTGTCTTCTTACTTTTTTCTCATTAAGCCTGATATTTCTTGAAGTTAATATTTCGCTTAAAAAATAAACGATCTGAAAGTTACTACCATAACTAACACAGAGAGTGGGTAAGACCTCCGGAGATTCACTCTTGTCAAACATGTGTCAAATATAATAATATATGGTTTAGTGATGGGTATCTCTACTATTTTCAACATGTTTGAATGTACTCAAAATGGCAGGGGTGGGGACTCAAACTATGTGTTATTTAATTCATCTTGATATGACAGACAAGAACATGTATGGCTAAGAGGTTGGGATCTCAACCATTTGCAATGGCATTCTCGAAATGCAGAAAGTGTGGGTGACTCCTGGGAACTCATACTATAAATCTGTCGATGTGTCTAGACATGTCAAACAAGAATATATATGGTTGAGGATGGGGATCTCAACCATTTTCAAAATATTTGAACAATTGTCAAGTTGTAAGGAATGAGATTGACCCCTGGGGACTCACAATACATTGTATTTGATTTTGGTTGTCATGCAGGACATTCTCTAATCAGTATTAGATTCTCCATATTTTAAGTTTTTGTTTAATTTGAAAAAAAATAATTTTCAAATTTTAAGGTGAAGGTCATATTGACATCGACGTATGACCCCCAAGTAGGTCATATGGTCCCAAGCTCATTACGGAAGACCCCATGTCTCTATCACTTACTGTTCTCGTGTTATAACCATTAAAACATAATAATAAAAAAAGAATCCCAAAGGGTTCTATAATAACCATCGCCTTTTTTTAAACCTCAAAGTATCCATAGAAGACATGCACAAACGAAACTATGTACTAGTATTCACACCTATACATGTTACTCAATAGTCTTAACACATTGTATAATCTTTCGTGTACATCTGATTAGCGGGTTCTGGGAACTGCCACGTACAAGTTTCGGTTGTGAATAAAGAAGCAGCACGTCTTTTGATATACATATTTTATAACAAGAGAGCAACCAAACGATACTTACAACTATTTCCATCCAGAAGGCAACATACAGTCACATCAATGTTGAAAGGTGTCTATGCAACATGTCATCTCTTACTAAATCGATCAGAGTAGAATAATTGTGCGAAATAAGCTATATAGACAGAAATTATAAGAAGATAAAGATATTATATGTTATTCGGGATCTTCACGGGGAATATTGGCTCATATTCCCTGTCAGTGTTTTATATCCCCTGTGCCGTTAAGCTAGAAATCCGAGTACCAATTATATTATACTGGCCGGAGTATCCTGATTTCAACACTAATTACCATTCCGATCTTCGTTTTTGTTCACATGGTATTTAGGCTCATATACATTGGTATGGTAGCCAATTAATTTGCAGGTTCAGCCGGGATATTTCACTCTAGTATACTATATATAGATATGTCCCGACCGTATCACCAAATTTTCCCATTAATTAATTAATTAACAAAAACCAAAAAAAACCAAACAAACAAACTTTAATACATCAGACAACGTGATGTCCATGTCGCTATTTATACTTTGCTGCTTTTTAATCTTACCTTTTTTGCAGAATTGCTTGAATATCTACTTTAATAATCAGACATATGTATATAATAAAATGTCTCTGACAAAAATGTAGAGTGCATTTTAGTTTATATTTGATTTTTCATTAAATTTAGTGAATATCTGTCTATTCTGAGATTGAATTGTTGGTCTTTTATGTATTATGGTTTGCAGTTTATTGCATATTTTTTTTAAATTTCTAACATTGTATATATTTTTAATGTTGCTGTTTATCACGCGAACGTCTAAGAAACACCCTTGGAAAATTTTCGGATATACAAAGGTGTTGGTTTTTATATTAGTTATACCGGAAGTAGATGTCTTAGCGATAATATAAACAAATATTTTTTTCGCAAGTTGGCAATACCTTGATACAACAAAAATATGCATCATGTTTCGGTGAAATATCATTAGTTAAAGCTATATATGAATTTTAACACTGACAGAATGGGTGCGGCAAGTCAGAGACATTTGAATTCAAGTGGAATAATAAATGAAAAACAAAATTATGCATGCGTCCCAATTTTTGGTGGATCAAATAACAATTGCTCAGAAAAATGCTGTCTCTCTTATCGGCTTCAGTCACATTGCATTGATAATAGACATTTCCATGCATGGATTCAAAAATATGGACGTGCATCCTGTTTGCATATCGTAGATTTAACCCATAAAAAGACGACTAAAACCTGGATACAAGATGATTCAGAACTAGACTTTTTGCCAAGTAAAATAGTCGGTAATTCAGAATTGCAAATGTGCAATGTAGTTGGATTTCACAAAGACTTAGTAGTAACTCAAATCTTTTGCCAAGGGGCTGTAAAGTTCATTATAACTGGCCTGAAAGATAGTGAATGCAAAATAATTTACAATAAGCGATACCTTCAACAACAAAAACTCCAACTATATTCATGCTACATTAGCCCCGATGAAAATTATATGGTTCTCCATCAGAATGCTATATATGCAACAATGTATGCACATGAAACAGAGAATATTGAGGGTGTTATTTTAGTAAAACTTGACTGGAAAAATATGAATGCTGAGACAATTTCTTGTGATAATTTGAATTTGCATGTTTTGCCTTCAAATCATAAATTTGCAATTACTTTTGATCCCAGAACGGATAGTGACTTGACAGTGTTTACCTTCATTGCAGGTGCTGACAGGTGCAATATAAGTTTGTACAAAATAAAAAAGGATAATGTACTTTTTCAAATAGCATTGTTTAAAAATGAGTTATCCGATTTACCAGGAAACTTCCAGAACCTTCAGTTTTTTCGAGATGGCTCAGCTTTACTTTTGACAGTCTTGGGCAGTAACTGCTGCATGCCTACTATAATCAGAAACCATTTTGTTACTGCTCATTTTCTTGATCCAGTTTGTTACGACTTTTTAGGAGATTTTAAATACATGTCTCTTACAAGTGTTGAACACTTTACGCCTATGATTTCTGCCAGTGGTCGACACTGCTTCTGTGGAGGAAAACTTTATAATGTGCAAAAAATTAAACCAAAATCATATTCTCTCAGAACACTAAAACAATCATGTTTAGACGTAATTGCTGACTCAGTATTGATAGAAGATTTATGCCAATTACCTCTTCCAAAGTCATTAATTGCATGCCTTGAACAAGGCAAGATTTAGTATCATACAAACCTATGTTGTCATATGCAGACAACCTGATATAAAATATTGAAAAAGTTTTCTTTCCTTATTTATTTATTGATCCATACTTTTATTTTTCTTTTCTGAAAACAAGAATGTCTATCCTACATCATGTACAATTGTCCAGAACAAACCCATTGCCAGTAACTGTTGAAGAATCTAAACTGCCAATGAGGGTTGTATTCTGTTAGTCATTTATTGTTAAAAATTCATTCTCTAGAGCTACTTGTAGATGCTAATTTGCACTATCAGTACATATCTTGTTGCAGTATGTCCAGTGGAAAATTTTTCATGCTTATATATAAGAACATATACAGGATAAGAAAAAATTTCATGATTGAAAATTAATAATTTATCTGCTACTGCAAAATTCATCCTCTTTGATAAGTACATGTAGCCCTTGCTTCGTACATATATAAACATGCACAATTGGTGTCAAGTACAGATATTTTTTACAATGATCATATAAGTTAAGCATTCAGAGGATTGGCTGTTAGTTGGTGTTTTTTTTAATTAAAATTAAATACTGTAGCTATCGTCAAGAATTCAAAATCTAAAAGTTCTCTTGGTCAGTGGAAATTTTACCTAAAGAACTAGGAAAAATATCCATTAATGGTTCATTATAACCTAGTAACCTTTTTTTTTGAGAATAACAGAAAGATAGATACCATTTTTTTATGCCCCCACCGTAGCGGTGGGGGCATTAAGTTTTACCCTTGTCCCTCTGTACGTACGTCCGTCGGTACGTCCCAAAATTGGTTTCCGTTCTCTAACTTGAGTTTGCCTCAACCAAATGTTATGAAACTTAAACACAATGCTTATTACCACAAAACACAGATCAAGTTAGAATTTTGGTTGCGTCACTTAAACCGTTCTAGAGTTATGCCCCTTTATAAATGGAAAAATTGCAACATTTTAAGTTTCCGTTCTCCTACTTAAGTTTGCCTCAACCAAATGTTATGAAAGTTATACACAATGCTTATTACCATAAAATACAGATCAAGTTTGAATTTTGGTGGCGTCACTTTAACCGTTCTAGAGTTATGCCCCTTTATAAATGGAAAAATTGCAACATTTTTATTTTCTTCTAAATATCAAGTAATTTTTAAAATTGGAGTTATCTTCCTTTGTCCATGATTATATTTTTTGTTTTTTGTGTGTTTTAACGCCACTTTTAAGCTTCGCTTTTAGGCTATTTCGTGGCGGCCAGTTTTTATTGGTGGAGGAAGCCAGAGTGCCCGGAGAAAACCACAGACCTTCGATAGGAAAACTGACAATCCTAGTCAATTAAGATTGGAGTCGAGTGTACCCGCACGAGCGGGGTTCGAACTCACAACCTCAGTGTTGACTGGCTAGTGATTACAGTAGCAACTACTTAGACCACTCGGCCACCGAGGCCCCGTCCATGATTATAGTTGAATCAACTACAATCAATGCTTTATACAATGCAATGTTTAATTTTGACTTCCACTGATAAAACACAGATCAAGTTGAATTTGGGTAGTGTCACTTTAACTATTATTGAGTTATGCCCCTTTATAAATCGAAAGACTGCATAATTTTTAGTTTTTCCATTCTGTAACTTAAGTTTGCCCCAACCAAACATTATGAAACCTATACACAATATTCATTACCACAAAACTAAGATGAAGTACAAATTTTTTGTTTGTTTTCTAACTTTAGTTTGCCTCAACCAAATGTTATGAAACTTATACACAATGCTTATTACTACATAATACAGATTAAGTACAAAATTTGGTGTAGACACTTTTACATTTCTTGAGTTGTGTCCCTTTATAAACATAAAAATTGCTGAATTTTTCGTTTCCATTATCTAACTTTAGTTTGTCTCAACCAAATGTTATAAAACTTATACACAACCGTACTAGAGTTATGCTTGTTTACAAATAGAAAAATTGCTGAATTTTTAGTTTCTGTTCTCTACTTAAGTTAGCCTCAACCAAATGTTGAGACTTACACACAATGCTTATTACCACAAAACTCAGATCAAGTTCAAATTTGGGTAGCGTCACTTTTACCGTTCTTCAGTTATGTCCCTTTATAACTATATGATATGCAAGCGGGGGCATCATCTGTGTCCACATGTGGACACTATCCACATTTATTTTTATATACATCAGATGCTTTTCCTGATTGATCCTGTTTTCTGTTGTGAAGACCAGCACAACAGGTTTAAATGCTGAAGGCACATAGAGCTCAGATAATAAATGGACCAAATGATGCAGTTGTCTTGTTGAATGAAAAATGACCATTCCGTGTTTCCTCAACATTCAATTGAAACCTCTATATTAATATGATAATTTTTAGAACAACAACCATTCTTTCGGATTATATATATTCCCTAAAAAACAGATAATGATCTTGCATGCATGTTTTGTAAAAATTTAATTTTTGTGTCAACCAATGAAATTCCCCAAAATGTAAATCAGAATGTTGGCAAATCCTTGTAGGCAAAATATAGATCCTAATCAAACTGATATATACAAAATATCCTTGGGAAATCATGTTATATAAATAAAGATAGGTGCACAGACTTGCCAGGCCCTTAGAATGTACAGAAGAAACAAGTTATTACTTTACATCATGAAGTTATCAATGCTTATGCAGACTATACAATGTACCTTTAAAATTATTGCTAAATCCCATATGAAATTGATCTCTCTAGACATCCTCTAGATGGGTTGTAAGGATCCGTGTTTGTCACTCAAATATCACAGCATTTGGTATTACTTACTTACTGATCCTCAGTGGGACATAAGGCCACAACAAATTTGGTATTACAGGTAGTTACAATCCAAGATATTTGAAATACTGTGGATTCATTTATTTTCGTGGATACCAATTTTCGTGGATTGAAGAAAATTTGTATTTTCGTGGATATTTGATTTCGTGGTTTAGCAAAAGTCTGCATACAAGCCTGTAGATAGTTTGTGATTCGTTGATCATTTAAATTAGTGGTTTACCTATACCCACGAAATCCATGAAAATTGGTATCCAACGAATAATAATGAATCCACAGTATGCAAAATCAACAAAATTATTGTTATCTTATCATGCTACTTTTTACAGGAACCTTCCTGTACAAATGAGATTATTCTTGATGCAAGTTTAACATGTCCGTACCAAAACCTAGCAACATTGATCCTTCAGCTACTAAATGACAGAGAATTGGCAACTAACTGATTTTAACTGTCTGAACCAAACAAAAGGAAACACTCAAATTCTGACTCACACTTATTTTACAGAAGCCTGTCAAAATATCCAATGCGAATAATAGCTATTAAGTAATAGTACATGTATAAGCTTACATTTATTCAGGACTAAGTGACCCAGTAGTCTTAGTTGTTCATCTACAGTGCTAACTAGCCTATCAACTTTAAGGTTGTGAGTTTAAACCCTACACATGGCAAGGGGTGTTCGACTCCGATCTTAATTGACTAGGATTGCCAGTCTACCTGCCAAAAGGTTGGTGTTTCTCTCATGGTACTCTAGCTTCCTAAATCAATAAAAAGTAGCCTCAATTAAATTACCATGTAGCCAAAAGTCCAATAAGCCCTAGCAAACAAACTACTTATTAGACAGCACACGTTACAATTAAAAAACAACAATGCATGGTTACAGGTTTAATAATTATTTTCAAACAGTTTGTGTACAACAACAAATATCTGTTGATAAAAACATAAACAAAATACATTAAATGAGTGCTCAACAAAATACCCTATTGCATAGAAATGAATTTTGGCGTGCTAAGTTAAAATCATAGTTTAACCTTAAAATACTGGTTAAAGTTATATTTGATTATCTCCCCTGTGAAACAGCATAAAACATTTTATTTTCAAACTTCCAATCTTGCTTTGAATTAAATATTACATATATAACAAAAATGTTGAACTTCTTCATAATAACCTCAACCAAAAAGCAAAACATATTGTTTTGTTTGACAAACCTTGACTGTAATAAGTTACAAATTCTTTGATATATAAAGGGAGATAATCAGATTTGGTGTTACCCTATTTTTACTGTAACTAATTATAACACCATGGCCAACGTTTGTGAATGAAAAAGGGGAAGAAAATCAAACATAAAAGTGGTAGCTATTCAAATAAAAGTGTATATTGTTTGATTGATGGTAAATATATTATTTGTATCTTTATCCATTTCATACGATTTGGAATAAAATACTCCGCTGGGCGCAGCTTGATACGACCGCAGAGGTTGAACCCTGAACAGTTGGGGCAAGAATGTACACAACATTCAAGCTTGATACACACTGAATTTGGATTGTGATTAAATATTTGACACAGCATAGGTTTCTGACACAGAATGAATGTGGTCTAAGAACTTATAAATTATTAATTGACCTATTCAAACCATATCATTATTATTTTTCTTTTACATATAAATCAGAAATAACCCATTTGAAATGGAAAATTTAAAGAAAATAAAAGGGAAAAAAAAATCCCTCCCCCCAAACTTTTTGAACCCCCTTATGATTCATCAGCCCCAAACCCAATCTAAGCCTTCCCTTTATGGTATGGTACCTTGCAGTACAATTTCAGAGAGATCATACACTTGAACACAAGTTATTGTCTGGAAACTAGAAAAATGCTTGTTTTTTGCCCCTTTTTGGCCCCAAATTCCTAATTGTTTAGGGCAATTACCCCCAAACTCAAACCCAGCTTTCCCTTTGTGATATGGAACCTTGTAGTACAATTTCATTAAGATCCATACACTCACACACAAGTTATTGTCCTGAAACTAGAAAAATGCTTGTTTTTTGCCTCTTTTTGGCCCCTAATTCCTAAAGTTTTGAGGCAATTACCCCCAAAATCAATCCCAGCCTTCCCTTTGTGGTATGGTACCTTGTAATACAATTTCAGAGAGATCCATACACTTGAAGACACGTTATTGTCTGGAAACTAAAAAATGCTTATTTTTGGCCCCTTATTCTGAAATGTTTTGTGCAATTACCCCCAAACTCAATTCCAGCTTTCCTTTTGTGATAGTGAACCTTGTAGTACAATTTCAGAAAGATCCATACACTTACACACAAGTTATTGTCATGAAACTAGAAAAATGCTTGTTTTTTGCCCCTTTTTTGGCCCCTAATTCCTAAAATTTTGAGGCAATTACCCCCAAATCAATCCCAGCATTCCCTTTGTGATATGGAACCTTGTAGTACAATTTCATAAAGATCCATACACTTGAACACACGTTATTGTCTGGAAACTAGAAAAATGCTTATTTTTGGCCCCTTATTCCTAAACGTTTTAGGCAATTACCCCAAAACTCAATTCCAGCTTTCCTTTTGTGATATGGAACCTTGTAGTACAATTTTAGAAAGATCCATACACTTACACACAAGTTATTGTCATGAAACTAGAAAAATGCTTGTTTTTTGCCCCTTTTTTGGCCCCTAATTCCTAAAATTTTGAGGCAATTACTCCCAAAATCAATCCCAGCATTCCCTTTGTGATATGGAACCTTGTAGTACAATTTCATAAAGATCCATACACTTACACACAAGTTATTGTCCTGAAACTAGAAAAATGCTTGATTTTTGCCCCTTTTTTGGCCCCTAATTCCTAAAATTTTGAGGCAATTACCCCCAAAATCAATCTCAGCCTTCCCTTTGTAGTATGGTACCTTGCAGTACAATTTCAGAGAGATCCATACACTTGAACACAAGTTATTTTCTGGAAACTAGAAACATGCTTATTTTTGGCCCCTTTTTGGCCCCTTATTCCTAAACGTTTTGGGCAATTACCCCCAAACTCAATTCAAGCTTTTCCTTTGTGATATGGAACCTTGTAGTACAATTTCAGAAAGATCTATACACTTACACACAAGTTATTGTCATGAAACTAGAAAAATGCTTGTTTTTCCCCCCCTTTTTTGGCCCCTAATTCCCAAAATTTTGAGGCAATTACCCCCAAAATCAATCCCAGCATTCCCTTTGTGATATGGAACCCTGTGGTACAATGTCAGAGAGATCTATAAACTAACACAAGTTATGTCTGGAAGTTACAAAAATGCTTATTTTTGGCCCCTTTTTGGCCCCTTATTCCTTAACTGTTGGTACCATAACCCCCAAACTCAATCCCAACCTTCCTTTTGTGGTATTGAACCTTATGGTAAAATTTTATAAAGATCAATTCACTTAAACTAAAGTTAGAGTGCGAAAACCAATGTGTTTTCGGACAACGCCGACGTCATACCAATATATGACCACAAAATTTTTTTGCTGTCGTATAAAAATGACCCTTGAACCTGACAAATATCACGAAAACTGTACTTGCTTTATGCTCAAACAATTAAAGAATGTATATTCAAATGATGTTTTTTAAGCTTTTTTTTTAAGACAGACATATCACATTTTTATCTCTAAATAAAACCAAAATACTATTTTCTTTTATCTATGGTAAATACCTGTCATTACACAAATAGATAAAAGATTCATAAAATAATTGTAAATAACTAATAATTTGTGACCCAATTGAATGTTCATTCTCTCTTAAATTTTTAATATTTACAAAATAACAATTTGAAAATGCAAAAAAATAAATAACAAAGAGTGACAGAAAACCATTGTAACAAGATTACACATAGAGCATGAAATGAATTTGATCAAACTCAATATCTAACTCGAAATAAATTTATTCAATACAATGATTCAGAGGAAATATGACTGAAATACCTGGATTCAATTGACAAAATTGAGAATGGAAATGGGGAACATGTCAAAGAGACAACAACCCAGCCAAAAGCAGACTACAGCCGAAGGCCACCAATGGGTCTTCAATGCAGCGAGAAAATCCAGCAACCGGAGGTGAGACTTTATACTACTTTGAATTGTGACATGGATATAAAGACGGCAATTGTAATTGACATCATAGTAAATGATTTCTTCAATACTCTATAAAAATACAGAAATCGTGAAATTTTGCAAAATGAAATATTTAATAATTTTGGTCATGATGTGCTGGGTTTTGTCCTGGTGAAAGCTCCTCCATGATTAAATTCTAATCCATAGAGATACCTGTCCAATGACAATGTAATATAAACGAATATATATATTGCATGGTAACAATCAAAGTGCAAATAAATAGTAAATAAATGTATGATAAGCCTAGTGAACATTAAGAGTTAAATTAAAAAATTATTCATTGTTTGTTATCTTTATTTCTCTCTTTAATTTCAACACCAGTTACAAATTCTTAATTTCCCTCTGCCTAAATAACGACATTGTTTCCATTAACACGAAGGTATTATTGAAGATTATACAACTACATAGAATCTATCATTTACTTACCAAAACCAATTCCTATTTAACTAATCTAATAACACATCTTACAAACTCTTCAGGCCTTAATCAAACTGGTATATTCAAAGTACCTTTGGGGAAATCATGTTTTACTGAAATAGGTGCAATGGTACAAATACCATCAATCATTGACTTACTAATTATATATATAAACCGATTCCTATTTAACTAATCTAATCACAACCTTATAAACTTTTGACCTAAAAGAAGATGAAAAACTATACCTGTAAATCTTCCACTGTAACTTATGTCATAGGTTAAAACATAACTACATCCTCCCTAACAAATAATAAAATATTCCCACATTTAATTATTCATATAAGACACACAGATTAAGTAAAATTACATTAATTTTTTAGTCTTGATATTCATGCTTCACTTGTCATGCTAATTGCTAAAAGAAGTTGTTTAAATTATGATTGTTGTGATAATGCTAAAAAGCATACTAATGTTTTGCCATCAAATTTTAAGACATTGTATATCAGATGCTTGAATACACTAAGGAATCAATATTGAAACTAACAAGATTTCTTTATTTCATGATTTGCAATAAAAAAAATCTTGAATTGGAATTAAAAAAGAGGACTAGTGAAGAATCCAGCCATGTATAAATGATTTCTTTGCAATGATACCTAAAAATAAAATGCTACTCTGAGCGCAGCCTGATACGACCGCAGAGGTCGAACCCTGAACAGTTGGGGCAAATTTGGACACAATATTCAAGCTTGATACTGTCTGAATTTGGATTGTGATCAAATTTTTGACAAAATATAGGTTTCTGACACAAAATAAATGTGGTCAAAGACCTTACAAATCTATTGCGCAATACTGTGCAATTGAAGATTTCTTCTTGAAACTTTTCAAAAATTCAAAATTTGAAAAATTTTGAAAAAAAAATATGAATCCTTTAAAAAAAATGTAAACAAAAAATCCCCCCCCCCCCCAAACTTATTGAAACCCCCCTTGGAGCAATAACCCCAAAACTCAATCCCAGCCTTTCCTTTGTAGTATGGAATCTTGTAGTATAATTTCAGAGAGATCCATACACTTAAACACAAGTGATTGTCTCGAAACTAGAAAAATGCTTCTTTTTGGCCCCTAATTCCTACATGTTTGGGGCAATTAACCCCAAACTCAATCCCAGCCTTCCCTTTGTTATATGGAACCTTGTGGTACAATGTCTGAGAGATCCATACACTTACACACAAGTTATTGTCCGGAAACTAGAAACATGCTTGTTTTTGGCCCCTTTTTGGCCCTTATTTCCTAAACTGTTTGCCCCATAACCCTTAAAATAAATCCTAACCTTCTACTTGTGGTATTAAACATTGTGGTACAATTTCAGAGCAATTGAAATATTTATACACAAGTTATTGTCCTGAAACTAGATAAATGCTTGTTTTGGGCCCCTAATTCCTAAACGGTTTGGACCATCATCCTTAAAATCAATCCAAACCTTCCTTTTGTGGTATTGAACCTTTTAAAAAAATTTCATAGAGATCCATTCACTTAAACTAAAGTTATTGTCCGGAAACAAATGTGTCTTCAGACAAAGACGCAGACGTCGACGACATCATACCATTATAGGATCCCAAAAAATTTTTTGCGGTCGTATAAAAACATTGTCTTACTGTTTTAAACACAGATAGTAATTTCTTCAAAATTCTTGAATGAAGAAAATTTACAAATATTCAATCTAGTTTACAAGCCTGTAAAGCATACTAGTTTTTACAATATTATAAGAATGATTAAGTAGATAACAAAAATTCCGATTATAATTGGATGAAATATAAAAACAAAAGTTAGAACAAAAAGTGTAAAAATTTGGTAAATCCTCTAAAAAATTTTGATTATGTCCCTTTGACCTGATATATATTAAAATGACAGTGATTTGTTTACGAACTGTTCCATTTAATTTCTGTGGAGATCATTTCACTTTAATATAATGGAACTGTTTTTAATTATGATAATTCAAATTAGCTAGATTTAGAGGATTTACTATAAAGGTTACAATTTATTATGAGGGGGTAACACTGGGGTGCTCATCTCCCAAATCATGCTTTTTTTTGTAAATTTTGTTCCCACTTTCCTTTTTTTCTTCTTCTTTTTCCTAATTTCTCTTTTCTTCACCCCCTTTATCCCCAATTTTATTATCCCAAAATTCCACATCACAAAAATGTGCAATCCCCCTCTACTTTCGTACAAAGTTGAACATACATTCAAGCAAATGGTGTACTAGTCTGAGTTCGATAAATCTTCACAAGTTTTTATGTAAATTTCATCTGCCATACCTAATTTTATTAATGTAATACAAATTTGAACAATTTTGCTAGAAATGTTTGTCATTTAGTAAAAAAGTTACAATCAAGGTTTCAATAGCAAAAATGTATTTTACAATAAATCTTACACAGATGAAGGTCATTGTTTTTTATTAAACCAACCATCCAGTTGTCGTTACCAGTACAACTAAAATTCAATGAATTCAATGAAATAAAAATGAAAAACACTTGACAAGGATCAACACTTTTTAAAACATTTTTATAGAAATGTGAGCTTTATGTTGAACAGTTGCTGTCACCTTCAGTTCATTCACTCCATTACCTGCTATTAACTTAAATTCATTAAATTCTTTAGTAACAAGAAAAAAATCCAAACTAAAACATCTTTATATATAATATCCATTATTAAAGAAAAACTACAAAATCAGCAATAAAATTAAATAATCAATAATTTAATTTAAATTTGAAGATTTAAAGAACTCAAATGGACTTAAACTATTTAAAAAAAATAATACATGATAATTGGTGATATAATAATATGGATCAAAATTTAAACTAGAGGCTCTAAAGAGCCTGTGTCGCTCACCTTGGTCTATGTGCATATTAAACAAAGGACACAGATGGATTCATGACAAAATTGTGTTTTGGTGATGGTGATGTGTTTGTAGATCTTACTTTACTGAACATTCTTGCTGCTTACAATTATCTCTATCTATAATGAACTTGGCCCAGTAGTTACAGTGGAAAAATATTTTGTAAAAATTTACAAAAATTTACAAATTTATGAAAATTGTAAAAAATTGACTATAAAGGGCAATAACTCCTTAAGAGGTCAATTGACAATTTTGGTCATGTTGACTTATTTGTAGATCTTACTTTGCTGTACATTATTGCTGTTTACACTTTATCTCTATCTATAATAATATTCAAGATAATAACCAAAAGCTGCAAAATTTCCTTAAAATTACCAATTCAGGGGCAGCAACCCAACAACGGGTTGTCCGATTCATCTGAAAATTTCAGGGCAGATAGATCTTGACCTGATAAACAATTTTACCCCCATGTCAGATTTGCTCTAAATGCTTTGGTTTCAGAGATATAAGCAAAATCTACATTTTACCCCTATGTTCTATTTTTAGCCATGGTGGCCATCTTGGTTTGTTGGCCGGGTCATCGGATACATTTTTTAAACTAGATACCCCAATGATGATTGTGGCCAAGTTTGGTTAAATTTGGCCAAGTAGTTTCAGAGGAGAAGATTTTTGTAAAAGTTAACGGACGACGGATGACGGACGATAGACGACGGACGACGAACGCCAAGTGATGAGAAAAGCTCACTTGGCCCTTTGGGCCAGGTGAGCTAAAAATAAAAGACAATTAATTTGAGTAAAATACATGAACAGCTACAGTTATAATGCCAAACTAAATAAGAATGATGTAAATAAAAAAAAAAAGATAACAAGACGAACATCAAAAAATCTTAAATTCACATTTCAATGCTTATATCAATATTCCACTCATCCCATTTGCAAATAAAAATGTACAACTCAAAAATCTGAATTTACAGCAATTCGATTTTTATTTCAACCACACAACTCTTGTTCATCTCTATATCTCCAGAAAAATACAATAAAGAATGTAATAATAAAATTTGCAATAACTTAAAGGCACATAGTATTTTTTAAGCAGTATTATTATACTATATTACAACTTAACACAATAATGAGTTTACTATATTTTTTTATATTCTATAGTATTTTCCCCACTCAATAAGAGAGTAGAGTCTATAAATACACACAAAACAAATAACACAACACAACACACATTTTGTTCCTTAGAAATAATTGCAACAAACCCTTTCCAAAAAAAAATTGAACAAAATAAACTATTTTGAAGGCCAAATAAAATAAAATTGTAAATTATCATTTAAATCCCAAACAGAGACTGAAAATCTAGATTTTAGATATGGTCTTTATTAAAGGGGTCAATATAAAATTGAACGAAATACCATCTAACATGTTAAAGAAGAAGATTTTACAAGGAGTACATTTGTACTTGGTTTTCTACTGTAGGATTAAACACCCTTTTCACTGAGTTTAATGACTTAATGGCCAAATTCACTAAATAAGGAAAATGATTACTTCCTCGTTAACCATAATTGACCTTTTGGGGGGGGGGGGGGATCTAGTTATATAATTCCATCTAATCACAGAACAATTTTAAAATTATTCCATAAGCATTATCCCAATCTTTCTAAATTATCCAAAAAATCAGTTTTTTACATGCTTAAGCCTTAAAAATGTATCCAAACCATTTAACAAGATTTTTAATACTCTTTTCTAACCTGATACTTTTTTTTCGGCAATACTGATTTAAAACAAAAACATCATGTTAGGATGTTCATTTTACAGTAACAAGTCTAAGAACAATAACAGTACACATATGGTGAATAAAGTAAATAATCACTCTTGCTGAAGATTCATAGTGAAAATAGGGTGATTGCTGGTGATTGACCCACATTCACTATATATATATAGCTAGCATTCACTGAAAAATCACCGCAATTCTTTTTTATTGAATCATTATTATGCTTGCATGATAATCATAGGCATCTAGGAAAGTAAACATCAGTTTGTAGATGGTTTTCTGTGACTGTACGTAAAAGTTTGTCTGTCGAATGTTTTTTCTAATAGGATTTATAAATCTTGATCAGCATCTGTGTTAGAAGATTTCTTTTTCACTTTACATTTGACATTTCCAGCTAAAGCATGTATGGCTTTGTTTTCAAAGAGTTCTGTGGTGTTCTCTGTTTTACTGACAGCAACCCTGACCATTGCCTTGGCAACTACATCTGTTGGTGTTGTTATAGCAGTAGGGAAGAAATAGGAAAAAGGTTTAAGTACTGTTCTAAAGAAGGCTTCTCCAGGTCGACTTTCTTCTCGGTCACACATTAATACCCTAAAAGTTGAAATAAGAAAAATAAATGTAATTTTTTTATGTATAACAAATATTCATTCTGTAAACCAACTAATTTGTGAGACTTTCACGAGAAGAAAATTAAACAAATATAAATCATTGTGAATAGGTAAAACTTTCAGGTCTTTCCTGATATAAATAAAACAAGTGAAACTGCGAGCTACTGCTCACTGATGATTTCCCCGCCCATATATGCATTTGGAATATTCAAACAATGTGTAAAATGATGTAAGTGTTCGGTAAACAGGAAGTTGTTGAGTCATGAAACTGAAAATGCATCACACGGTATAGCTGACTTATATAAACCCTGAAACCAAATTTTAGAAATCCTGAAGTAGTTCCCGAGAAAGATGCAATGAAAAATATTCATGGGACGGATGGACAGACAGACAGACAGAGGTAAAAGAAAATATCGAAAATACACAGTTTTCGAGACCAATGTCCATAAAATATCTTAATTGAGCATTAATACATTTTTCTTTTTATAAGTCACTGTACACTGGTTAAATTATATATGTTAGATTTTTACATATAATATATGATAATCAGCAAATTGCTGAAAATTTTCTAATAATTGTTAGAATTGATAAATTTAAATAATTAAATTCATCAATAAGGGTAAATAAATTTGCAGTTCATGAAATACTGCAGAATATGTCAAACTACACAAGTTTAATTCTAGTAAACAATGCAAAAGAGAAATTTGACTAAAGGGAAGTTATTCACAATTTATATCTGCACATTTTTGAAGTACAAATGTAAAACTTAAGTTGGAGTTATTTCCCTTTAATCTGAATCAAATGAATGGCTACATTTACCAATGATGACAATTGAATGGATTCACATATGAATAAAAACATTATAAACAGACTTCAGAGTGAAATCTTCAAATTCAAGAACCAGCTTATACCTGATTGGTCTAGATCTTACACAACCAAATTATCAAAACAAATCACCATTCCATACTGAAACTTTTTATCACTAGAGAAATTGTCTGTAAAGTAGAAACTTAATTTATAGTAGTTTACTAATGCTTTGAACATACCCTGGTCTGAAAACTGAAAGTCTGTCAAAATGCATTACTTTTAATTCCTCTTCAACTTGTCCCTGAAAAAAAAATGCTACTTTAAAAGCACAAGTTTTCGTAAGGAACTTATTATTTTTTATTTCAAAAATAGATCTTATCCATCTTATTTCAACCCCAAAGAAATTATACCTTTACAGAAACCATGAAAAGTAAACCCCCAATTTTTTTTTTAGCAAAACCATGAATCTTTATTCGTATGAAAATCCTTCTCAAAATTTTTATGACAGCACGGCCTGATCTTGTTGTGTGTTTTGTACAAACCTTGTATTTATACTGGATGCTTTGTGAAGATGATCTTATTTTGTCTTATATTGTTCTTGTGTGTTTACATGGTGAACTTGATTGATCATGCAATGATTTGCTGACTCACTTTAACTTGGTACATTGCCTTGTCCCAATGACAAGAGTGAACTTGATCTTACTTCAAATTGTTGAAATGTGTTTAATTATGTTCTGACCTTCAGATTTTTTATTTTTCCCCAAGAGTTTGAATATAATCTTATATGTCTACAAATTTCAGTGGTAAAAGTTGCAAAAAAAAAGCATGTTCAGGACAAGAACATGATAATGTAATGAACTGCTTCGCTGAGCACAGCTGGATACGCCCGTAGAGGTCCTACCCTGAACAGTTGGGGCAAAAATAGACACAATATTCAAGCTTGATACAGGTTTGAATTTGGATTGTAATTAAATATTTGACATATTATAGGTTTCTGAATAAATGTAGTCAAAGAACTTGAAATTGGTTATATGAATTGAATTTATTAAAGATTTCTTGCTGTTGTGCAATACACTGTGCTGTTGCGCAATACTTAGTAAATCTGTTGTCAGACTATAAAAAAATAAAGTTCAATTAATTCTCAATGTCATATTAGAAATTTATGAAAATCAAAAGGGAGCTTACATCAATAGATATAAACAGTTCACCAAAGTTTCATGAGAATTGCTGACAGCATTTATGAGTTATTGTCCGAAAAATGGAAAATCCACCCTTTTTTAATGCATAAAACCCCATAACTCAGAAATATAAAATGTAAAATTTATAATATTCTAAAGGGAGCTTACATCAATAGATATAAACAGTTCACCAAAGTTTCATGAGAATTGCTGACAGCATTTATGAGTTATTGTCCGAAAAATGGAAAATCCACCCTTTTTTAATGCATAAAACCCCATATCTCAGAAATATAAAATGTAAAATTTATAAGATTCTAAAGGGAGCTTACATCAATAGATATAAACAATTCACCAAAGTTTCATAAGAACTGCTGAAAGCATTTTTGTGTTTTGTCCGAAAACTGGAAAACCCCCCTTTTTTTATGAATAAAACCCTTTAACTCGGAAACGTAAAATCTAAAATTTATAAAAATCAAAAGGGAGCTCATGTCAATAGATATAAACAGTTCACCACAATTTCTTGCAAGCTGGTGAAAGCATTCTTGAGTAATTGTCCGAAAACTGGATAATCCCCCTTTTTTTAATGAATAAAACCCCATAACTCGGAAACGAAAAATCGAAATTTACAAAAAACGAAGGGAGCTCACGTCAATAGATATAAATAATTCAACAAAGTTTTATGCAAATTGGTTAAAGCGTTTTTGAGTTAATGTCCGACATGTTGATGACGGACGGACAACGGTATACCATAATACGTCCCGTAAACGGGCGTATAATAATATATAAACCCTGCTTTGTACAAGACTGACTCACTGAGCCAGATTTTTAACGTGCTAGTTCAAAACATAACAGTCTGCAGGAAGACATGTCACCTTACTCTTACACATTTGTTTTTACTCAGAGCTGACAAGTTGTTACTCTTACTAATAAATGCTGCATACTATAGGGAAAAGCAGCAACTACCAATTTTCAAGTCTTTACTTAGACCTGACTTATGTTCAAACCCATAACCTCCTGCACTCACAGGGGTTACATTCTACCGAGCATACCTTTTTACTATACATACCTTTATTCTTGTATAGAGTAAATTAGCATTTTTATCTGCTCCCTGGGAGGATACTAGTGTGAAGTGTTTGCATCCCTTTTCTTTTGCTACCTCAGCAGAGTTCAATATATAGTCATGGTCAACTTTCACAAATCCTTCCTACAAATATTTATATAGAATGCATTTCAAATTTTTATATCGTAACCTTATCAAAAAAATATATAGTCATGGTCAACTTTCACAAATCCTTCCCACAAATATTTATATAGAATAGAATGCATTTCAAATTTTTATATCGTAACCTTATCAAAAAAATATATAGTCATAGTCAACTTTCACAAATCCTTTCTACAAATATTTATATAGAATGCATTTTGCATTTTTATATCATAACCTTATCAACACGAAGGAATAGGTTAGATTTTTATGTATTTTGTGATCATATATATAGTAGTAATGGACCTTTATAGTGTGTCTTTCTATGTTGTGATGTTACACTATTGTTTCAGAAAAAGGGTGAAAGTTTGGTACCATTAAAACGTTTAAACCCGCTGCATTTGTTTGCACCTGTCCTAAGTCAGGAATCTGATGTTCAGTAGTTGTCGTTTGTTGATGTGGTTCATAAGTGTTTCTCGTTTCTCATTTTTATATAGATTAGACCGTTGGTTTTCCCGTTTGAATGGTTTTACACTAGTAATTTTTGGGGCCCTTTATAGCTTACTGTTCGGTGTGAGCCAAGGCTCCGTGTTGAAGACTGTACTGTGACCTATAATGGTTTACTTTTATAAATTTTGACTTGGATGGAGAGTTGTCTCATTGGCACTCATACCACATCTTCTTATATCTATCTACTGATTGGATTAAAGCTTAAGAGACCATATGAGTAGTTATGTAAATGCCATGATGATATTGTTCATATTGTAATTTGTATGTTTTTATGTCTTTGACTCTCTTATGGGTGTAATTTGAGCTTAATAAAGTTATCATGATAGTAAAACATATTTTGAAGTATATAACATATGGGCTGCATCAGATAGAAATCGAAATCGACTTTATGTAAATGCACGTAAACATGTACATGTATAAGACTTTGATTGATTTTGGATCATTCAAATACAAAATAAAAGATGAAATTTGTTCAATTTTGTAGGGTTCTTATAACAACTCTTTTTTTAAAAGTTACAGACTTTCCGTAGAGATTTTTCAACAAAACATAGGTTAGGGCTGTTCCATAAAAACATACATGGGACCCAGGGAAGGCACTTCCAAATCTCAACTACATTGTATGGGTGCATATGTTTGTTTATGCATAGTGGAAATATAAAAGAAATTCTAGTTTACCTCTATAGGTGGTTACCCAATTTATGAAGTGCCTTGGCTTCCCTGGGTACCATGTATGTTTTAATGGAACAGCCCTTAACATATGTGTTGATATTTATTTGCATAAGGTCGATTTCTATCCGACACAGCTCATATTACTAAAATCAAAGCACTGTAAGCACTGTAGGCAGTTAACCAAAAACCAAGGCAAACCTAATTATGAAAACTGTGGCAGTGTTGCTTCAATTTTTTTTTAAGATTTGAAAGAACAAACATTAAACATTCATATATATTGTACATTTATGTTCATTAAATGAATTGATTATTAAGGCAAATTAATTAATATTTCATCAAGGTTTTCAAAAGCAACTCATATATCAATGTAAATGACCCCTATCTTCACCCCCAAGTGCATGATGTTACTGCATACTAAGTTTGGAATAAAATGACAGGTGATTATAAAACAGTTGGTCAAACATTCTCGGGCTTTACACTGCTTAAAAGATTTATATGTTTTCTTTAAAATGAGCCATAAATGAAAATTGTTATAGGCCCAGAAATAATTTAATAAATAATCAAAGTAAATTCAATTAACTTAGACTCATTTTTTGCATCAATAAAATTTTTATAATAAACAAGAAATAATTGTAACAGGATGCCATTACGAAGTCTCCCAAACAAAGCCCCCATAATTTGTCATTCGCATGGTCTCCTGACATTTGGCAAAGTCCAGTTCATATTGGTTTGGTCTAGTAAAGTGATATGCATATGTGAAACCTAGGAGATTGACCCTGTATGTCATTCAAATCTTTTTGAAATGATGAACAGGAATAAATATGGTTTATATATTTAATTAGGTGTGGGTATCTCGACCGTTTACAAGTTCTCAAACAGGAGGGGGTGGGGTGACCCCAGGGACTCCCCCTATATTTCATTTGATTTGTTATATTGTCCCATACATGAATACATATGGTTTAGGGGTAAGGATCTCGACCATTTCTAAGTTCTCAAACAGGAGGGGGTGGGGTGACCCCAGGGACTCCCCAAATATTTCATTTGATTTGTTATATTGTCCCATACATGAATATACAAGGTTTAGAGGTGGGGATCTTGACTGTTAACAAGTTCTCAAACAAGAGGGGGTGGGGTGTCCCCATGGACTCCCCCTATATTTTATTTGATTTGTTTTATTGTTCCATACATGAATATATATGGTTTAGAGGTGGGGATCTTGACCATTTCCAAGTTCTCAAACAGGAGGGGTGGGGTGACCCGAGGAATTCCCAATATATATTTCATTTGATTGGTTATATTGTCCCATACATGAATATATATGGTTTAGGGGTGGGGATCTTGACTGTTTACAAGTTCTCAAACAAGAGGGGGTGGGGTGTCCCCATGGACTCCCCCTATATTTCATTTGATTTGTTTTATTGTCCCATACATGAATATATATGGTTTAGGGGAGGGGATCTCGACCATTTCCAAGTTCTCAAACAGGAGGGGGTGTGGTGACCCGAGGAACTCCCCATATATTTTATTTGATTTGTTAAATTGTCCCATACATGAATATACATGTATGGTTTAGGGGTGGGGATCTTGACTGTTTACAAGTTCTCAAACAGGAGGGGGTGGGGTGTCCCCAGGGACTCCCCCTGTATTTCATTTGATTTGTTTTATTGTCCCATACATGAATGTATATGGTTTAGGGGTAGGGATCTCAACCATTTCCAAGTTCTCAAACAGGAGGGGTTGGGGTGACCCCAGGGACTCCCCATATATTTCATTTGATTTGTTATATTGTCCCATACATGAATATATATGGTTTAGGGGTGGGGATCTCGACCGTTTACAAGTTCTCAAACAGGAGGGGGTGGGGTGACCCCAGGGACTCCCCCTATATTTCATTTGATTTGTTTTATCATCTTATACATGAATATATATGGTTTAGGGGTGAGGATCTCGACCATTTCCAAGTTCTCAAACAGAAGGGGTTGGGACGACACCGGGGACTCCCCCAAATTATTTTTATTTGATTTCCTTTATTGTCCCATACAAGTATATATATTGTTTAGGGGTGGGGATCGCGACAGTTTACAAAATAAAAGTACATTTTCAAATTGAAGGGGGTTGGGATGACCCCCAGGGACTCACCCTATATTTTGGTTGATTTTTTTTATTGTTCTGTTCTCATTACTGAAGACTGCATGTGTCTATCACTTACTATTTTCGAGAAATAGTTATTTGAAAATTACAAAAAAAAAATCCCACAGGGTTCTATAGTAAACCCCTCCCTTCTTCAGGCCCCTCCAAATACCCCTAAATAGACCCCAATGCACAAACTAAAGATTAATGGCTCCGCTAGACATGTTAGTCTAATATTTTATGAAACCCTAAGTAAATCTGACAAACGGTCAAAGTTGTCTTCCTAGACGGTTTGAGTGGATTCGGTCCGACTTGTCTCTGGGACGAGTTGTCCACATTACTTAAAACATCCCATCAATGTCGATTTCTGCATCTGTTTCATGACCTCGTTTCATTCATAAAATAACAACAACCTTATTTGGCAAGATAAGTTAAAAATTACCGCCCACTTATATAACTTTATTTCCTCTATCATAGAGATTTGTTGTACATGAACAATGTTCCTGCCCATTTTGCCATTTGGGAAATATAAACGACTTGTAATTACCAATTTTCGGCGATGAAATATTTCATACAATTGTTCTTTGACATCGTAGCCAAAAGCACAGGGAATAATAAACTACGTACGGATTTCTATTGAGCACTACTTCCTATGTGCAACTTCAAAAGTTTTGGGTAGTTCGACGATCATTTAAGGTTTTTCTGGTCATATTTTTTGTATTCCAGAAATAAAAGTATTAAAAAAATGTTCAATTAGTTATAAATAACGTAATAGCCAGCTAGATAATAACAATGGCACATATTTCAGCATTTATTGGGTAGAACACAAATCTAGGGTGCTCACATAAGGCAGCTTAACTGCCTAAAAAGCATCTTTTGATTAAGCATGTGTGACAGACTACCAAAAAAGTTGAATTCCCTGTGAACATGGTGAAAGAGTAGAATCCATACGATAAATCCCCACACAACCGTAATTCAAGTATTTATGTTCCTTCCCGTATTCAAAATATGAGACATTGGAGTTCTCAGTTCATAGTTTAACGTCATAGACTCATTGTTGGCATACACGGTAACGCGAAAGGTTTAGTTTAGAATGTATGTAGTAAAATATTTTAGTTTCAAGTCGTTCTGCTTAAAGTGCTTAGACTATAATATGGCATGGCCTGAATGTCTTAACATAATTAATAATACTGAGCAAGTAAAATAAAATATGGATGTAATTGGCCTAAATCTTTCTAAATAAATCACAATGACTAATCTCAGAAAAAAATGCTGAAGAAATAATTTACCTCCCCCTATCTCCTTTTACATGTTTTAATCATATTCATTTCATTCATAACATTTCAGTACCGGTACTTGGATAAAATACATACTGAACCTGATTTTCCTCTAGTGGTTCCCAAGCAACAGAATCCCGTATCTATACCATCAAACACTTCTTTGTAGTCAGTTATGTTATCAAAATCTACCTTCTTTTGTTCCTGAAATTAACCAGAATACATACATTATATATATATATTACATGTAGTTCATATAATACATATTATCCTTAGCTTTAGTTTTTTGTGTTTGAGTTTGTATAATACATAAAAATACGACTGTTGACAGGGGCAGATTCAGGCGGGGGCGTGGAGGGCATGTGCCCCCTCTTAAATTTGCAAAGCATGGGTTGTCCTCAGCTTAATAAAGAATATTTCTATAATTTTACCTGAAAACTTAAGGGATTTTATGTTTTTTGACAACAACATAAGTTATAATATAATGCTCTTCAACTTCAACTTTATTTGGTCTTTTTAACTTTTTTTGGATTCGAGCGTCACTGATGAGTCTTTTGTAGACGAAACGCGCGTCTGGCGTAAACACAAAATTTAATCCTGGTATTTATGATGAGTTTATTTACATGTTTTAGACAAGAAAATGATATTAGAGCAGGAAAAAAATTGAAATGATTTGTGTCATAAAATTTTTCAGGTAGGCTACTTGTTAGGTGGGTATGGTAGGCAACAAAAAACAATTTGAATTTTATTTGTGGCCTCATTGAAAATCATACCACATCTTCTTCTCTTTGTATGTGTACAAAGTTTCAAGTTGATGTGATCAAAACTTCATGGTAAACTACAATGCTTTGACCCAAATTCTTACCTGTTATGGCACAGAGGAACAGATGCACAGACAGAGCATAAAAAACACAGTTCTAAATACTGAATAGAATAGAGAATGGAAATGGGGAATGGGTCTAAGAGACAACAACCAGACCAAAGAGCAGAAAACAACATTTGACACAAATTTCATGTATCAAGAACAGGCTCATAAAGCAGTATAAACCCATGACCGCTTTAGATAGTAGATATGCAGCCTGTCTGTAGCCAGAAATCTGATGTTCAGTAGTTCAAGTTGTATATTGTAAAAAAACTGATTAATGAGAGCATTTTATTTGAAGTAGAAATAAAATGCTCCGCAGGGCGCAGCTTGATACGACCGCAGAGGTCGAACCCTGAACAGTTGGGGCAAGTATGGACTCAACATTCAAGCTTGATACAGCTCTGAATTTGGATTGTGATTAAATATTTGACACAGCATAGGTTTCTGACACAGAATGAATGTGGTCTAAGAACTTAAAAATTGTAAATTGGACATTCAACTATTATGGTCCAATATCCAAAATCTAAATACATGGTTAGATTCAGCATATCAAAGAACCCCAAGAATTCAATTTTTGATGAAATCAAACAAAGTTTAATTTTGGACCCTTTTGACCTCAATGTGGACAAAGTTGATAATGGGGCCCAAAAATCAAAAATCTAAATACATGGTTAGATTCAGCATATCAAAGAACCCCATATATTCAATTTTTGTTGAAATCAAACAAAGTTTAATTTTGGACCCCGATTTGGACCAACTTGAAAACTGGGCCCATAATCAAAAATCTAAATACATGTTTAGATTCAGCATATCAAAGAATCCTAAGAATTCAATTTTTGTTAAAATCAAACTAAGTTTAATTTTGGACCCTTTGGACCTTAATGTAGACCAATTTGAAAACAGAACCAAAAATTAAGAATCTAAATACACGGTTAGATTCGGCATATCAAGAAACCCCAATAATTCAATTTTTGATGAAATCAAACAAAGTTTAATTTTGGACCCTTTGGACCTCAATGTGGACCAATTTAAAAACAGGGCCCAAAATCCAAAAACTTAATACACGGTTAAAATCAGCATATTAAAGAACCCCAAGAATTCAAGAATAAAACCCCATTGAAATTGGTCAAGAAATAAGCAATTTATACGAAGTATCTTCTTTTGCACAATACTGTGCAATTGAATATTTCTTGCTATTGCGCAATACTGTACAATTGACAATTTCTTGCTATTGCGCAATATTGTGCTATTGGATATTTCTTGCTATTGCACAATACTGTGCAATTGAGGATTTCTTGCTATTGCGCAATACTGTGCAATTGAAGATTTCTTGCTATTGTGCAATACTGTGCAATTGAAAATTTCTTGCTATTGCACAATACTTATTTTATAATAATTTACACATCCTGTTTGGTGTGTATCTCCTACCATATCGTTATTATTTGCTTTTAAATATAAAACAGAAATAACCAACTTAAAATGGAAAATTTTAAAAGAAAAAAAAAAGGAAAAAAAAAACAACCCCCCCCCCAAATTTTTTGAACCCCCTTATGATTCATCACCCCCAAACTCAATCCCAGCCTTCCCTTTGTGGTATGGTACCTTGCAGTACAATTTCAGAGAGATCCATACACTTGAACACAAGTTATTGTCTGGAAACTAGAAAAATGCTTATTTTTGGCCCCTTTTTGGCCCCTTATTCCAAAACCTTTTGGGCAATTACCCCCAAACTCAATTCCAGCTTTCCCTTCGTGATATGGAACCTTGTAGTACAATTTCAGAAAGATCCATACACTTACACACAAGTTATTGTCATGAAACTAAAAAAATGCTTGTTTTTTGCCCCTTTTTTGGCCCCTAATTCCTAATATTTTGAGGCAATTACCCCCAAAATTAATCCCAGCATTCCCTGTGTGATATGGAACCTTGTGGTACAATGTCAGAGAGATCCATACACTAACACACAAGTTATGTCTGGTAGTTACAAAAATGCTTATTTTTGGCCCCTTTTTGGCCCCTAATTCCTTAACTGTTGGTACCATAACCCCAACCTTCCTTTTGTGGTATTGAACCTTATGGTAAAATTTCATAGAGATCCATTCACTTAAACTAAAGTTAGAGTGCGAAAACCAATGTGTCTTCGGACGACGCCAACGTCATACCAATATACGACCACAAAAATTTTTTGCGGTCGTATAAAAACAGTTGCATATATGTAACTTTAATTTTCTCTTTATTTCTGTTTTCTTAAATTGTTTAGGCCCTTTTTCTCTACATGGAGTTGTCAAATATTCTTTATTCTGTATATTTAAGCAATTCATTATTCTATATTGTGTATCATTTTGTTTAATTTTTCTTTTTGGACCCATTATTCTATATTCCTTAAACATGAACACATACAGTTTTACTCAAAATGTTTCACTTCTATACAATATTTTACATTATCTTTCATTTTTACATTGATGCTTACGTACTATCTTCTTTCAATTTTACATCCACTCTGCTGCAGTGTAGCTTTGTAAATGTACACATGTGCAGTACATGTAGATGTACATGTATTCAACTTACAAATTCAGGCCCAAAATCTGGATCCAAATCAATTATTCTACGTCCAATGAGAACAATCTTCTTAAAAGGTCTTGTTCTCTTCAGTTCTTTTAAAAGTTCTTTTCCAACTTCACCAGTAAAACCAAGAACAAAAGCTGTATGATCCTCTTGCTTAAATTCTTCTAATTTGGTTTCAGAATTCGATGCCATGCTACAAAAAATTGTAAAATTGCATTCTATGTTAAATTTTCATTGTTGCCATTTTCGAACTACATTTTGTAGTCAGATTTACACGGCAGAAAATTCATAGATTTATTATGATTATGTTTGTTTTAATACTGTAGTATAAAATAATACAGATCCTATCAATGCATAAAGTTTGAGTTGGAATATTTCTACACTCTGAAAAATTAATTATTAAATTTAATATGTTAGGCTTGTTGAGCATGTTGAGAGTTTTAAATACATGTACATTTAAATTTATATTCCCTTTTCAATGATCTGCAATTAGATGTGTTCAAGATGAAGATTTCTATGAGATGTCATCAGACATGGTTGCTTTTTTTTGAGACGTTAGAAAAAAAATTCAGAGGAAAGCAAGAAAATTTTACTTCATAATTGAATTGTGACCAACATGAAAAACTGACAGTCACATGACTGAGATAGAATAAAACTTATCATGCTTCAGGGTTTTCAATAAGTTTGAAGTGAACAGGCTGTTTGCTAATTTGGAGAGGCTGATAGAAGATGGGGGGAATCCAGGGGGCTTGCACCCAGACATTTTTTTTTCTGTCAGACATTGAAAATGGTGCACTCTGAGGCATTTTCAGACTGTTTACAAGTTCATAAAAAATGAGGTTTCATGGGAATATTTTTTTTTAGCTTTTGTTTGAGTAAGTTTAATATTATTAGTAAGTTGTCATATTGCTTATCAAAAAAACAAATTTTGATATCGATAATAATCTTAATTGTAATCAATTAATCATATTGGCAGATATTTTCAGAAGGTAAGAAAGCAGCTGATGGGTCATAATCAACCATTACCAACAATTCAATGCAATCAAGTTGAGTAAACAAGAAACAACATCAAAACCTGGATAATAAAAGTTACCAGTCAAAACACACAAAAATAATCGATTCTAACCATAAAGAAAATAAGGCAGTATTTTTCCTAGCCTAGCCAAACATACATTTAAATTTGTGAAGAAATGGAAACTTGAAAAAAATAACATGCATCAAAACAAAAATTGCAGGCCAACCTAAATGAATTTTTTTGTGATTTACTTTTTACAATAGAAATTTTCAGCGTAGGTTAGACTATAAAACTAGAACAGAAACTGGAAACAGGATAAACAATACATGTACATTGACCTGTTGTTACACTGACATATTGTGTGTTCTTGTTGAGCTCTGCGTCAATAATTACATGTATACTTGACAACCATATCAGCGTTGAATGAATCCGAACATTATAATAATCTTTAATAAAGAATTGTCAGTCACAACAACCATCGATGTTCATGTGCAAATTGCATAATATGTGATTCTGTTTTCACCTGCTTCTTTTTTTTTTCTTTATGGGGGATGTAAAGAAATCAAGCAATGTCGATTTTTTTTTTTTGCTTGTTTGTTTCAATGCTTGTTTACTAAGATGTAGAATTTTCTTTTTTCAAAGCGCACAAATGATCGCATTTAAAATCATTTCAGATGTCTAGTTCCTTATCCATCTTCATAACATGGTCAAGAATCTATAAATATAACACTGACCTCGATGAGAACACATAAATGAAGCGCAGCAGAAGACAAAAGCCAATTTCAATCGATAACAACTTGTTTTACACCCCGATAGCAGTTTTATTAATTTTTTTTTATTTGGAAACACAATTTAAACTGGCAGTATCCTTGATTTGAAACAGGGGAAATTCCCCGGGTGTCTGTGCTTATTGAAAACCCTGATGCTTATGAATTATGTCACATGTATACATGACAGTGATAGCTCCAGACACAGAATTCCAAAAGGGGATTAAAATTATTGCACAGAAACTATTTGCAATCTGAGTCGCTCGATTGCTTTATTTTTTTCTCAATTACAATAGACAATAACTTAGATTGCCAATGAGACAACTCTCAAACAGATTCCAACTGATGTGGAATATCCAAAGCTTAGCTATAAACTGTTTCAATGAACACCAGCAAAGATGATTTTAAACTGAGCACATTGGGTGTGAACTTTTTATTTGCAAAAAATAGACATCTGCAGTTGATCACTGCGAAATATTGATTTTTTTTTTGGTAGGCCACTACTGGTATCGACTGGGCGGTTAAGCCTTACTTGCAAAGATATTCTGTGTCATTTAATGGCTGTAATTCACGGGATACCAGGAATCCACTTAACGCAAGTATTATTGCGATAAGTGCAATTAGAACTCCTGGGATAATTTCGTTACACTTGAACCACAGAATTTGCATTTGTGTATTTTGTGCAAAATGTCATTTCCGGTTAAAGCATTTTGCAAATGCTGATTAGACAATGTACACTCAACTTCCGAAGCGAGATGGTCTACTCTCCGAGTTTTCACTAATATTACATGCCAAAATCGGAAATACATTATACATCCTCAAATTTTGTATAAATCTTGGTGTAAATCATGTAAACATAAACAATAGGACAATTACGTTCACACCATCATAGGATATATCATAATGACGTCTTCAGTATGTTTTCTGGTTCTTAAGTACAATAATTTTGCTAAATCGACCTTGATTTCCACTAGTAAATATTTTATATTTTAGTAAATGGCTATTTATCCAGAATACATATATTGTTCCATTGATTGTTATAATATAGTTTTAATCAAATAAACGGCACCAATTGTATTGCACCAAATGTGCATTTCGACAATTAATACAATGTCTCTCAGTCAGTGATGCTCAAGACCAACTTGAATATATATATTTAAAAATCCCAAACCTAACCGTGATAAACGTTGAAAAGCTGATCAAACCAAAAAGGATCTTAAGAAGAGAGAAATCCGGATAAGGAATCAGAGCTTTGTATGAGGGATCTATATTTAAAACTTCATGTTACCTGCTGTTCATTACAATGTTAATTAAACTGTGACAAACGTATATCCGAACATCACGATGATCATTGATGACAACATGTTTCGCCCTATCAAACGAAAGAGATCAGCAACAATACTCACGCTGTCACCATAGTTTTGCATCATTTATATCAAAGGTTAACAATTAACTTTAACGACTGCGTCGGGGGGGGGGGGGGGGGGGGGGGGGGGGGGAAATCAGAAAATGATTTGTAGTAGTATGAAACATATAGACGTTATGAGGAACATAATAGTCAGATTGTATATGCAATTAGCCAAACCAGTCCTCGTAAATTGTGAAATCAAAATGGAGTCTACCAAATTCAGACCAAGCTGTAAATACCACTTCTATTAGCACATATAATAACTAGTTATTTACAGCAACACGACGGATAGAATCCTCATGAAAAGCTCTGATTTCAAAAGATCTGCATACCCTTCCGGAGCACCTGAGATCACCCATGTTTTTGTTGGGGTTCGTGTTGCTTAGTCTTTAGTTTTTCTATGTTGTGTTTTGTGTACTGTTGTTTGTCTTTTCGTCGTTTTTTGCCATGGCATTGTCAGCTTGTTTCCGACTTATGAATTAGAATATCCTTTTGATATCTTTCACCTCTCTTTTACAGAAGTTAATATAGGGTTTTACCTACTCACAATCTTAGATTTATTATATATTTCAAAGTCTGTTTTGTGATGTGTTACAACCGTAAATGTGTTTTATATTTTAACTCCATGTGACATTATGGGCATAAAGGTTGAGCGGTAAGAGTTTAATCTCCAAAAATTTCAGATCGCATATATTAAATCAGTTGATAAGTAAGCTTTACATGCCATACTTATCGTAATTTTACATTAAATATGGTATAATGTCCTATGATGTTGTTAACAAAGCGAACAAGTAAATTAAACTGTTGACTCAGAGATACATCGATATCGCCTTTTTGTAATTTTGTTAGTATTGTATAATAGTTCTCATGTTGAATCTAAATGCTTAGTATCTTGATTTTTTTGTTTGTGCGTGGGTTTTAAACCTTTCTAATGTGCCAAGCCCTTTCAAACGGATTTTTTACAGTTTATTCTTGTGTTGTGTTGTTATACCGCTGTTGTAGATTAAGGGAAGTGTCGACTATAACAGTTACTACAACTGGTGATTTTTTTTAAAGTATAACCTAATAAATTGTTAGATGAGGAAGGATTGGCTCGCTTGACTCACTGTGGGACTACATATGCATGAATTAATGTTAACATGTAAAAAAAGCCAATTATTATTCTATCCATCTTGTATGGGAAAGTGTTTTTATATAGAATTAGCCTTTAACCAATGCTTTGTTTGAACATGATTGATTTAAACAATAAAATCTTTGAATTAAATTGAATTGAGAGGGTTGGGCGCTCATGGTCCCATGTCTGTCCTAAGTCAAGAGCCTATAATTTATTGGTTGTCATTGGTTCCTGTCTGTCATGTATTTTTATGCCTGTGTTTTCTATTCGATCAGTCCAGTGGTTTTCTCGTTTGATTTGTTTCACATTTTTCATGTCGGGACCTCTTACATAGCTGTATGTACAGTATGGGCGACATAAAATTGTTTACTTCTACGTCATTTGGACTCTAAGGGATATATATATATATATATAGTTGCCTCTTAGGCAATAATACCACATCTCCTTATATATTCGTGTATATCATTGAATAAGTTGGTTAATGGATATATGTGACAAATATCAAAACCGTATTTACGACGAGGAAGAGATCAAGTACAGCAATTCGTTATATAATAATACATGAATGGACCGAGGGAAAGGATAAGAAATATAAAATGAGTTGAACTACACAGAAATTGTCATGTTTTGTCAAAATAACAAAAATAACATATCAATATAAAATACAAAAAAAGTCATTATAAATAGACTTTTGCACCGATTGTAAGATTGATTTTACTTCTTTTAGTTGCTCTGATAAAGTTCTTGACCCGAGTACTAAATTTGGTAATATGAAAATAGTCTATCGAACACCAGTTAAGGATAATTAAGATTCAGCTCGTAAATTGCTTTTCATAAAAAATCATATAGCTGTTTATTTTCAATGATTTCAATTTTTTCAGATGACTGTTCAGAAACTCTGTTCACCATAGCTTTAGCTAAATTGTCCGTACTAATAGCCGTCGCCTTTATCACAAAATTCGGCATCGCTTTAAAACAGAATCGTAAGACAGATTCACCGGGTCTACTCTCTTGTCTGTCACATAACAACATCCTGGAATAAATACAATATATTGATAAATAAGGGGCACTGTGCAATAATTTGTGGGAAGTTTCAAAATTGTGTGCTCATGGATTACTACTTTGAGATTAAAGTTGGGAAAAACGTGAGAGAGCTATCTTTTCGTATTTTTTTTTCTTCAACAATTTAGATAAATCTGCGTTTTTAAAATGAATCCATTTCAAATTATATCTGCAACCTACAGTTTCTCAGTTGTAAAATATCAACGTCATATCGTACGTATGTCTGAACATGACAAAATTATAAAAGCTAACAGACTGAAAACTACAGTTTAAAATTTTCTTCACCTCATTAGAATTTTTTTAACAATCATTTCTTTCGGTGGTTTTTATTTGTGCATATATAACATATACAAATGTACGGTACGATTCAGTGTATAATAGGCTACATGTAGAATATAATATCTCTTTGAATTTACACAAGTTGCTTAATTTTAAAAGTGTTTATGCCACTTCATACAAATGAATCGATTTGGTTTTAATATATAATTTTTGTTTTCTTAAAACTTCTCGGTGATAAACTATTTCTGTTATGTTTCTGAGAAATATAATACATGTACATCCAGCAGAAAATACAGTTAGATTGGTACGTTAAGAACTGTTCGCATAGCAACATTACCAACATAATTAACTAATTTTACATTAAACGCCTATTTATAAGTCGATGTTTCCTTACCTTTTTTTAAATATATTTTATAGAATCAGGTCAATTTACAGCTTGGCAAATAATATAACAAATTGTGTAAACACTAGACTGTCCTGTCTATTGTTGAAGACTGTTTGTTGTACTATAGATGTCTTTTTTTGGTTATTTTAGTCGTTGGGTTGCTGTGTACCAAATATCTTCTTTTATTTATATCATTAATGAGACATGTACTAATTTTTTTTTCATCATAATTTTTTCCTAAAAACAGAACCTTTTCTCTTAGAGAGAACACGTTAATTTTTCGAAGAGCTATAATGCTTAATCATCGGTTTCCCATCGGTCGTAAATGTTGAAAGATAAAAACACAATATATACATACCCTGGTCTAAAAATTGACAATCTGTCAAATTCCAAGGCTTTTAATTCTTCTTCTACTTTCCCCTGAAAAAAATCATTATTTTACAATATATTGTTCTTATGCATACATATGGTAGTTATTTTTTAATATGCGGACCTACATTTATTTTTGAAACAGAGCTCAGTCTTAATATGAAGGTAAGAAAGTACAACACATTCACTTCGAATCTATCAAGTCTAGCGACTCATTTCACCAAAAAATATATCCCCAAAAAATTGTCATGAACAGATCATGAACATTTCAGAATAACTTACGACCATTTTTATGGTAAGATTTTATGTGAAAAGAGCCTAATTTAGATCACAACTCGCAAGTCAGGATACAGGGTTTGCAAGTCCATGTACAAAGCTCATCGATAAGTCCGGGTACAATCTACTACATGCGGTATTCCAGATACAGAGTCCTAAATTCAAGATAAAGGGTCTGTTATTCAAAGAAGTTCAACAGAGCTGACTATTAATTGTATTTTGTTAATCTGAAAGCTGATAGAAAATGTAGAACTGACACGAACTATAATTCATAACATTTTGTAACACAAATTCAAGTGAAGAAACAAAAATTGAATTAAACTCTGCAGAAAACATCTGGTACATCATTTTTTTTTCACATACGTTAATTATGCGTGATTAATGATAGTATATCACAACAAAAGAGAAACACAAATTTTAACATCATACAATAAATTGAGATAATTTTTTTGTTTCGCCTTGACGGAGTCAAAAAGCGAGACTTAGGTATGCTGTTTCCGACGGCGTTGGCGGCGGCGACGTCAACAATGTATTAGTTTGTGATTAGGTCAGCTTATGGGGAACCACTAGTGGTAGGTCAATGATATTTGGTAAGCAGTTGTATTAGTACTGCCACATCTCATTTCCATGGAGATTATTCAACCCCGCCCCCTTTTTACTTCCAAGTTGATATTTCTCAGTATCAAGTTTCCATTTCTGAATTCCAAGTCGATATTTATCACTTCGAAGTTGACATTTTTCACTTCCAACATGACATATCTCACTTCCAAGCTTTTCCAGACCGAAAGGGACATTCCGTTGGAAGTGAGAAATGTCAACTTAGATGTGAGAAATGTCAAGTTGAAACTGAAAAATTCTAACAACGGAATGTCCCTAACGGTCTTTCGTAGAAAGGAATACCTTTGTTTTAGGATACAAGAATGAACTGTCCTTATTCGCTCCATAAGCAGTCACCAATAAGAAGTGTTTGCATCCTACAGATTTCGCTACCTCTGCTGAATTAACTACGTAATCATGGTCAACTTTTATATATCCATCCTGTAATTGAAATCAAGGTAATAAATAAATAAATCAATAAATAAACAATTAAAAGGAATACAGTTTATTTAAGACAGAAAAACCTTTAGTATCTTAACTATCTTTGCAATTTTGCGTTTGTTCCCTAACGTTTTATAATTTTGGCATTCCTAACTTTTGGTCACGAACGTACCTCATGAAAGTTATCCAAGATTCATGTGTTGTAAACAATGGCATCGAACAATTATGTCGTATGCTTTTATATCATTTTTTGTAGAAAACCACGACAAATTATGAATTCTAGTACTATATGGTTAAAGTTCATCTACTTGAGCTGTATTTTTCTGTCATTAAATATTTCAATAAAGGTTCTTTTTTTCAATTTGAGTTCCTATGTATTTCAGCTCATTTTTCTGAATAATCTTTATTGAAAAAAATGCAACATAAAAGTTAATAAAAAGTGCACGGTTCCTGGACACAACCACCTGTGATAGGGACGCGATGTTTTTCATTAATAAAATTGATTGCGCTATAAATCACATAATAAGGTAAAATGTGACGTCAATTCTTAATAAGTAAACCAACAAATTATCAGAGAAATATACAATCTTGAATTCAAAAAAATACAAATATGAAAATAAAACTTACTTTTCCTGCCTTTCCTCTGGTTGTTCCAATACAACAAAATCCTGTATCTAGACCTTCAAATGTATCTTTGTGGTCGTTCAATCGTTCAAAATCAACAACCCTTTGTTCCTGGTGAAAATAAGAGTTTTATTGATTAAAGCCCGTATTCACAATCGAGATTCTACAACGTGAACATTTTTTTAGAAAGAGAATATTCACGAACAGAGCGTACAGCAGATTTAAACGCAGCAGTAAAGTTTTATTTTCAGAAAAATATACTTTTAAACATACTCACTTTTAACTTTAATTACACCTTGTATAAGAAAGCCAGATTTTGATTGGTTGATAGCCAGTGTATTTTTCGCATATTCTAATATTTTTTCCTCATTTCAAACGAATTTACCTGTTTTTCACCACTGCAGGTGAATTTGCCTCAAATACCATGGTATTTGCCATTTTGGATATTTCTTTTTTACCCTCTCGAGCATTTTCCCGCCAAAATTTTTCGGATATGACGTTACATAAAAAAGCGAGCTAACGCGTACTAGTACATGTATAATTCCCGCGGTTATGAAGTGGTATTTGCGAAAAATACCAGTCTTGGGACCGAATTTCCCTCGCCTAGCGGCTCGGGAAATTTTACAGCCCCTTGACTAGTATTTTCGCAAAAACCCCTCCATAACATGATATATCTGTTCAAAATCAGTTTTCGTCATTTATGGTTTGTTGCTGTAGAGTTAAATTCCACTATACTGTTTTCGTCATGCCATTCATGTTTACTGACGCATAATGATATATAATAGATTCATTTTCACTGTAACGGTGATTCATTTCTATTGTATATGCGGTTCATTTTCACAGTAGGAGTCTTAATCATTTTCACTGTAGGGGTGATTCATTTCTATTGTACATGCGGTTCATTATCACAGTAAGAGTTTTAATCATTTTCATCAAATCTGTCTGTAATTCCTACTCTGCAGATTATTGGTTTGAAAAGAAAATTTCCAGTTTTCATTGTAACGCCACACAATACTTTTGTTTACTTTAATTCTAATTTAGTTTTTGACTACTTTGATTTTTTCTTGTTTCCTTAGGTAAAATGCAAACATTGCCTTTTTCTAAATTGACGTGACATACACCATCTAATAAATGAATGGTAATAAAACCTTCAAAGAATTTTTAGTAGCAATTAACATTGACCACTCTTGTGATTTTTCTAAATGTTATAGGATTTCCATAGCTTAACAAGATAGAATTGGAGAAAAAAGAGTTTATGCATCCAAGTACACAATGCCCTTGCGTGCCTCTATTTTTTCTTCTTCAAAACAGACTTATTTTAAGAGGTTGATGTTACAAGATTATTCAAACCGACATGTATGCTTTTGATATTTTATATAATGGAAGCAATACCGTCCATATTTCAGACTTATGCACAGTTAGACATTAAACATTATGCCCGTCTGTGTTGGTACTACCTTACCTTAAAACTTCATTATACATTTCTAAACATTGATTACGTCATCAATCTATTTGAATTGCTTACAAATTCCGGACCCAAATCCTTGTCTAGCTGAACTTCTCTTCTTCCAATAAGAACTATTTTTTTAAACAGTGTTCTCTTGCTGAGCTCTTTAACTAATGCCTTCCCTGTCTCTCCCGTATATCCTAATACAAAAGCCATTTTATTTGACTTATTAGCCTTTCAATCTCTTCTCTATAAAAGAAGTAAGTACATACAGTTCCTTATGCATGTATTTTTAAAGTATTAGATGTATCATAATTGTAACAAAAATTAACATCCTAAATTGATATCCAGATATTTTCAGTGCACGAAAACTCAAGACAAGGATAATGTACACAACAGCTGCTTTTTTCTGTTCTTTTTTTTTTGGGTGGGGGGATATAACGCTTGTATAATGATGTTCAATTCTCTTGATCTTGATCGTTGTATAATAACAAGAAACACATCAAAGGTATCAGGCTTATAACTTAGTAGGAACACCTTAGTGTTTGAAATAATTTTAACATGATTTAAGGAACAGTACATTTCAGAAAATGAACGTATTTATGATATGATTTGTTTGTGCAACTGTCCTTTGTTTTCAGTGATCTTTATATTTATCTTGCATTGTTCCTCTGGTTTTTTTTCCTGACCATGTTTGAATTTGTCTCGGTGATTATCTTAAATAGACCCAAAACTAAAGGTTTAAGATGTGTTCAAAGTAAGTTTGAAACAAATAAATAAAACAGTAAATTAATACATATGGCACTGAAAAATTATTCAATTAGATCTTGGGAAATTAGTAAAATCGGCTCATATGTCCAACTCTCCAACGAGCATTTCCATATATCTTTTTTTTCGGGGTTTTCTTTCTTTCTTTCGTTTTTTTTTTTGTGTTCCCCAAAAGTATTGTATTACATATATACACAACAGCCCGTGTGGATTTGTGATCTGTAAATGAATATTAAAATTGTGCATCCGGATCGCTTTTCTGGATTTACCTTCACCAGTAATGCTCTAACCCAAAACTTTGAAAGATAATGATGTACATAGACACGAATACTTGCGAAGCTATATGACAAAAAAAGGACTTACAACAAACAGCCAAATCAACATAAGGTCAACTTTGCCCGAGAGAGTTGGAACCTCAGTTTCTAAATAATTTCAAAATTCAACATCGGAGAATTTTAGAAAGGTATACTATAAAGCATGTCAGTACCGAATCGCTGAATACTGCGCTTATGATACCCCGCGGAATAGCAGTCCATAAGTAACGGTATTAACTCAGTACTGGAAAATTAAATTAACAAGTCAGTACGATACGCTCGCGGAATAGCGATCCTTCGGTATCGGTATCAACCCAGTGCCAGAAAATGAAATTCAAATTTTGTGAGTCAGTAAAATCTAATACTTATAGCTCAGGAGGTATATATATTCGAAATGCTTATATTCAATTTTACATTATTCTTTTCAAAAGCAGATCAGGAGATGCTTAGGCATTTAGTATGGTCTATCGCAGTTTGGAGTTCGTGCGATATCGATATCGCTTGCTTTTTCTACCATGCTCTCAGTTTCCCGTTTGAATGGTTTTACACTAGTAATTTTTGGGGCCCTTTATAGCTTACTGTTCGGTGTGAGCCAAGGCTCAGTGTTGAAGACCGTACTTTGACCTATAATGGTTGAAATTTTGACTTGGATGGAGAGTTGTCTCATTGGCACTCATACCACATCTTCTTATATCTATCTCAGTGCATATTTGCTAGTCTTTAACTTACGATATTTCAGTTGAAACCGGTACACTATATTCATATTGAACACTCTTATCTGATTTATTTTATTATTCAAAATCAATCAACGGTTTCTTAAAAGAATAGTATCATATATATATATATACAACTGCATAATTAATCCTATAAGATATACAATCAATTTAAAATCTGTATATGGACACGCCTATTATCGTAAACATAAAGTACATTTATACCATTCAGCATTTTATGTCAGTAAATTTTTTCCGTTTAGAAATAAATGCAGGAATTCTTTTTTGGGAATCTTAACATTTATCTCTTACCTCATTTGGCTTCAATGTTAACGTTAATCCTACATTCTATAATACACCATTTTAATTGTAGTATACGACTAAAACCAACAAAATATTTATATCATCCGGGTCAAAGATTAGAACATTTTGATAGTGATCGTTATACTTTGTCGTTCTACTTAATTTTACACCTACTAAACCTTTAAATAATCAATTGATCTTTAAATAGAGTGTTTTCGAAAATTCAATGTTAGTGAGTAATATACTGTTGGCTTAATTTCAATCTATTATTTGTTTTCTGTATAATATTGACCAAAATAATCAAAAATAAAAACAAACAAAACAAAAAAAAGCAAAAAACAAAAACAAAACAAATTAAATGTTTTGTTTTTTCTTTATTATACGTATTTAACTAGTTTGAATATATTAATCAAAACAATAAACTTTTGGGACAAATCGGATTTAACCACTGCGATTATGAGGGTCTGGATGCGGTGGTCTTCATTTATTCTTTAAATTAATAGGCCATTTTCTCTTTTCTTTCTCTATTCTGCCAATTTTACTCCCTTCTTTATTTTTTTTGACCTATTATTCTGTCTGTTACCCATTATTTTTGTAAACCCCTTCCATACAGCAGATCAATTTTCTAACAGTCTAATTTTAAAACATCTTCGATACATTGTCTGACGTTAATAATTGTTATGAAGGTGCGATTTTGAAATCATGCTAATTGCATGACTTTAATAAAAATGCGCCACTAAAATTAAACATACTGGCATACAATATTTATTGTATTTGTTAAAGCTTAGACAATGACAATAATACATTTAATTTAGTTTTTGCAAAAACCGTAGGAATTATTTTGTCGCTTTTTTACAAACAATTCTAGGAAAATGTAGTTTGATTACGTCGTATATGTTTTATAAGATACTAGAAGTCTAAGTCATATTTTCAAATCCATCTAGATTACAAAACAATCACGGCTACCAATTTTTGACATGTCTGGATCTGTCAGAGTTAAGTCTTTAAACTGACCAAATTTATATTTTCTTACTTCGACCTTAAATTGGATATCAGTATGTTCTTTTGTTGTAGTAAATTACGAATATCAGCAATTGTATGTCCTTTTTTAAAATGTGTTGTGTTGTGTTCAACTTGTCAACTATAACATATCAATACTTGGACTCTTTGCTATTGTTGAAAAACGCAAACCAGAATTTTACAAGCTTACATGCTTACATATTTTTTATTTGTTCTATGTCCGTGCCATACTAGGTTTAACTTTACAGAGTTCTATATCAAAGGGTTTGAGACATCTTACTTGTTTGTCTTGGCCTTAAATGTATGAACTGAATATATCATCGACGTCTGTATGTGCTGCACGTTAGGGTCCACATTACAAATCTGTTTTCATTGAGAACACTTAAAATCAAACGTGAGGCTAGATTATTACTTAGGCCATTTAGGCAGTAACCTAGTATTCGGAGTTAATTGAAATAGACTTGATATATGTTTTGAACCATTAAATTTTCGTGCTTTCAAAACAGATTTGTGCTTAAAAATATAATATCATAAATATTTCCGCAATTTTTCTCGGTAAACATTGTCCCCCGAAATTTGCAATCTTCCCTTCGAACGTTTTTACGGACTCCATCACAAGTTCGTTGACCCTTATGAAATATCAAAGGTAAAAATGACCACAGATATCATTGAATGATACATTTATACCACTGAATTTGTACTTACCATGATCAACATGCTGGTACCACTAGTGGAGCAGAATCTGCTTATCCTACCATAGCACATGAGATTACCCCCAGTTTTGGTGAAGTTGTGTTGCTCAGATTTTAGTTTTATACGTAGAATTTTGTGAAATTTGTTCGTCTTTTCGATGTCTTTTGTTTTTGCAATGACGTTGTCATTTTTACTTCGACTTCGAGTTTTGCATGTCCCTTTAGCATTTTCCGCCTCTTTTTAGGTTTATTTTTTTCTATTAGGGTATGGGTATATAAGTGGGATACCTAGGTTCTGTTAAACTTTCTTCAATCGCAACTCACTTGTGATTTGGTTTAAATCTATAATATTATGGGACAAGTAGCTTTCCAAAACTACTAAATTGGTCATTTTTCACTCAACCTTATCACGCAATTGACATATTTCTACACTTACAAATGTTTTTACATCAGCTTGGTCGATATTACAGCTGGTGGACGTAACGCCAGCAAGGCAAGCACCAGCCCATGAATGACATGAAATATCATCGGTGCCGTCGTTTCTGTAAATTTACTATTTAGGAATTGTTAAAATCATTCGAAACACGAAGGTTTTCAATCCTCCAGGAACATATGGTCCTAGTTTGTACAAAGTTTTACAATTTTAAAGCTCCTCAATTTAGTGATTGATTTGTTCTTCGCACTATTTGATTCGATGAGTATTTTGTAGACGAAAGGCGCCAGGCAGACAAAATTTTAAAGCCTGGTATATGAGAATTGTATTTCAACTCTAACAAGTACTTCACAAAACACAAAAATAAAGTCTCATAAGGAATAATAGAAGTGACAAAAAGCAAATAACGTATTAAAAAAAATACTAACTAAAGTTAAATTTAACTGGTTGACAACGAATACTTAAGGGCAGTTATCGTTATGGCATTGGAAGAAATGGGTATTTGTACTCGGTGTGAATCAAGGCTCCGTGTTGAAGGCTGTTCTTTGACCTATACTTGTTGACTTTTTATACATTGTGAATTGGATGGAGAGTTGTTTCATTGGATCTCATACCACACCTTCTTGTTTATATTAAACACTGAAAACTGTTGCGTAGGATACGGTTTAATTTCAATCCATTACAAGAGTATTTCAGCTACCATGGAAACACCATACTACCACATGTCGGTACAACAGCTACAAAAGGTAACACAGATCAACCTCTTTTGTTCACGATTGCAGAAATCCAATGTATTCCAATGGCAATTTTAATTACAGACAACAATCTGCTGATCATGATAGCGTTTTTTTTTTTTTATAGTAATCGGGTACACAAATTCTTTTGTTTCTGCGTACCGATAGCTGGTAAAAGTGTGAGCACAGAGGCTAAAAATGATACATTATGAACCCAGCATTTACTGGAAAGAAGTTATTCGTTACTTCTGCCCCTCTGAATATTCAAATACTGCATTATTCTAATGACTATCTCAACAGTTTTGACGTTTGACAGATACAAAGTTTTAAACAATTTTAAATAATTGAATGCACGACAAAGATATGCTGGTTTTTATGGTGTATGCTCAGATCCACGTAACATTCCTTAATAAGCAAACAAAATATTCATCTGGTATTTATAATCCTCTTCTTATAAGATCAGAGTAAACGTTTCTATATATAATTCCTGCCTTGTGTGTCCTGAATTTTTTTGCTAGTTAATTTATATGTGAAATGTTTTATCAGATCTCATTTAGATAAAGTCATATAATTGTTTATTTTCAATGATTTCAACTTTTTCAGATGGATAAGTAGCTTTGTACACCATTGCTTTAGCCAAATTGTCTGTGCTAATTGCACTTGCTTTCACAATACACTGTGGCATCGGTTTCCAGCAACATCTAAAACAGGACTCGCCTGGTCTACTTTCTTCCCTATCACACAACAACAATCTAAAATAAAAGAAAGTAGGTTTTGTTACAAAAGATCTGAATTAATGGAAATTTTTGTTTTCCATAAATATTGTACCTATAAAGAATAACTTTGTCTTAGTCATTATCTCTGCTTATCGTCATATTACATAGTTCCTTAACCCCGTGTAAATGATTAGGAAAGACAATATTTTCTTCATCATAATGTGTCTCTGCCGATATTCTTTCATTTTTTTTTATGTCTGTTTTCATTGATTTTTATATTTTTGTCTCAGATTATATCAATATCAAGATGAATTTATAAAAAAACAAAGCAAATAATTTTCTCTCAAGGATAAATCCCGTTTGATGTTTGATGTATTCAATTGTTTGAAGAAATTGCATTGCGACTGACAAATTCATTTATTTTTCAATACCTGTTCAATCCGAATTGGAGATACAGAGTTAGTTTTCCAAAAAAAATTTAAAAAAAGGAGGCGGAAGATACCAAGGGGATATTCAATACTCATAAGTCTCGAATTAAAACTGACAACACCATGGCATAAAAACGAAAAGAAGCATATGTCTACAAAACACTATATAGAACATTAAAGACTGAGCATCCCATCCCACCAAAAATAGGTGATAAACACAAGGTTACGGAAGGGTAAGCAGTTCTTGCTCCACATGTGGCATCCATCGTGTTGCTCGTGCAAGTACAAATTCGGTGACAAGTCTCATTCGGTAATTGCACAATAGAGGAAAAGCGGACGTGTATGTGGTTACGATAATTGGAACATATCAGTGGTCATCTGTGAAACATATTCCATAACGGTCAACCAACTCGTGGTGGCGTCCGTAAAATTTTCGAATAATTTTTTTCAACTTTGCCACTTAGAACTCTCGGTTCAATAGCTTCCTTGTAAGCATCAAGGAAATCATGCTAGGAAACGTAAGCCCTGGAATATCGTATCATCTTGGGGGTTTATATAAAAGATGTGGCACTGATTTTAAAAAACAAAAAGCGGCGGAAAACACCAAAGGAACATACAAACTCATAGTCGAAGACACACTGACAACGCCATGGCAAAAAAATTAAAAAATTATAAAAAAACTGGAATAAATGCGTAATACAATGCTGATGTACAGTCAGCTCACTATTTAATGAATCTGAAATATCGGATATTACCAATTATCATGCATCTTTATCGGCTTTATATCTGGAGTGTTTTTTTTTTTGTTTTTTTTTTGTGTCGTTGAGGTTTTGTCTTATTGACGTTTATCTCATATCTCCTCTTACCTATAATAACACTTTAAAATTGACAATTTAACCCTTAAACCCTTGTAACACGTCCGGTGTTACTAGTGAGGCGGAAAAGCCCAATTTCCGGAGCTACTGAGTTCACTCCTAGTATTATATTGGGTTCAATATCAAGTGTTCTGTGTAGCGTTTGTGAACTTTTTTTTACGACTATATGTTTTTTTGCCAGATTTTTATTCTTTTTTCCTCATTAATATCTCATTGTTTTGATTCGAAAGGTTTTGTGATTTCCTTTAGGCTAAGATGATTTGTTTATTCGTTACCACTTTTGATTATAGGTTCGCATAAACATGATGCGTTCAACTCTATCTAACGTTTGAATGTCATATAACACGGTATCGCCTCGGTGGTTTCGTGGTAGCATGTTCGCCTTGAGTGCAGGATGTCGTGGGTTCGGCCAGGTCATACCAAAGACTTTAAAATTCATATTTGCTGCTTCTCCGCTAAGCACGTGGCATTAAGGAGTAAGAGCACTGGTCAGCTCGGAGTCAGAATAATGTGTCCGGGTAAGGTGACTATAGTCTTGCTTCAGACTGTTACCTTGTGAACTAGCATGTCAGTAACTGCTAGTAGTCTGTTGTTATTTATGTATTATTGTCATTTTGTTTATTTTCTTTTGTTTCCTATTCTGACATCGGACTCGTACTTCTCTTAAACTGAGTTTTACTGTGCGTACTGTTGTGCGTTTGTTTTTTCTACATTGGCTAGAGGTATAGGGGGAGGTTGAGATCTTAAAAAAAAACATGTTTAACCCCGCCGCATGTTTGCGCCTGTCCCAAGTCAGGAGCCTCTGGCCATTGTTAGTCTTGTATCATTTTTAATTTTAGTTTCTTGTGTATAATTTGGAGTTTAGTATGACGTCCATTACCACTGAACTAGTATACATATTTGTTTAGGGGCCAGCTGAAAGACGCCTCCGGGTGCGGGAGTTTCTCGCTGCATTGAAGACCCATTGGTGGCCTTCGGCTGTTGTCTGCTCTATGGTCGGGTTGTTGTCTCTTTGACACATTCCCCATTTCAATTCTCAATTTTAGCACGTTAAATATCCGGCTCAGCGTGTCGGTCTAGTACAAAGCAGGGCTCAATTTCATATTACATTAACATGTTTTCGTCCTAAATATGCACATTAATTTGCCGCTTGATGTTAAGCAGCCATTCATCATCATCATCATCATCATCATCATATAACACGTTGAACGTTAATTAATGCATGAGGTAGCATCAAACTTCATAAAATCTGTTATTCAAAGTTATAATCGTCTAACATTTGATGATGATGCCATTTTTTAATCGTGTGAGAATCGTTTCTTTCTATGTTCCGCATATGATGGGAAAGTAATCTGAATTGGGAACCAGTTTCGCTATAAAAGTTAAAAATACATTCACTTAAACAAAATGATAAACTATACATACCCTGGTCTAAATATTGATAAATTGTCGAAATTAATTGCCTTCAGTTCATCTTCAACTTCACCCTGTAAACAGGTTTTATCAAATGGAAAATTATTAAAATCATACATATATATATATTACATTTGGATCGGATTTCAAAAATTCTTTCAAAATATGTCATAGAACGCGGAACAGATTCCAAAAGCGGAGCGTTGTGCGTGTACTTGTGTAATGTTGGTGATCCATATGCGACAGGAGACCCTTACCCCTGTCGATAAACTCGGTCTCCCCCCTTTTGGAGCCCATCACGTAATTCCATTAGTTTTGCTTGTTACCTTAATGTGTCTTCTTAATCGAGTTATGAGATTTAAAACATCGGTAAACAACTGTTGTCAATATTCAATAACTGTATTTATTGATATTAATAACTTCTATAGACATATTTTCCAAACTATCATTGGAATAATTTAAAAAAGGTTCTGCTACATCATTCCTGTTGCAGCTATTCCTATGTCAATATGACACATGTTAGTTGTAACTAGTTCAGTGTAAAATTCTTACCCTCCCGAAACACTGCTGCTTTTTTTTTTTTTTTTTTTTTTTTTTTATCTTTAATGAAGTTCATGTTATTCAATCTTTTTTGATAAATATAGTTTTGTTGACTGTTATTTATATTTACATATATTTTTTTTTTATCTGTCCTTCGATTTAATGCTCTTATTGCTGTTCATATAACATAACACGACGGTATTATGGTTAATTTGAAGAACACACAGATAACGGCAAGATCAGGATCAAGCAAAAGTATGCTTTATCAGTTTATCAGTGAGCGAATTATTCATATTATTCCAGTTTAAACATGTTTCACAGATACGAAACAAAATTCCAACATGACTTTGTAACACGTAAGAAAACATATATTCATGTACCCTTAAAGAATGACGTCACTGTGTACACCACTAAATCATTATATTTTGCATGTAATACAATATTACCTTTGTTTTAGGATACAGGAAAAAACTGTCCTTTTTTGCACCATATGAAGATACTAACAAAAAATGTTTGCATCCTACAGATTTTGCCACCTCTGCAGAATTAACTACATAATCATGATCTACTTTTATAAATCCAGCCTGTTATAAAGGAGAATGAATTTGATACTATTAAAGATCTGTTCAGAAATGCAATTGACTCTTTCAAATACATTGGTTAAAATATTTATTTAGACTGAACAATCGTTGAGCTCATCCATTTTCTCTTGTTTGTATGTAGACATAAGTCTATACGACTAGGGCATATACTTGGAAATATCATATTACAATTTAAACCTTTTTGAGTGTTTTGTGTAGTTGGGTTGCTGTATCATTGATGTATACCTCACGGTCCTTTTATTTGTCTATATTTAATGCAAACCATCGCTAAAATGTCAAAAAAAAATTTTTTTCTGAAAATATTTATCAACAAATTTGGTCAGCAGAACTTGTCTTTATGTTTGATATATGTAGAGTCAAATATTAGGCCTCAAATCTATGTTATTTTATCAAATCCATGTCCTACCCTATATTTTCCAAAAAAGTTAAAAGGCAAAAAAAAAAAGTAAGAAGTCGAAGAGTATTGAGGACCCAAATTCTGACAGGTAAGGTAATATATTCCCGGAGTAGAATACTGAATTAATGCATGTACATATTGAAAAGAGACATACTTTTCCTGCCTTTCCTTTTGTTGTTCCTAGGCAACAAAACCCTGTATCAAGGCCTTGAAAAGTATCTTTATGTTCAGTTAGTCTTTCAAAATCAACAACTCTTTGTTCCTGTTAAATAAATAAGTTAGTATTAGACATTTCCAATAGTTCTCAGAACCGACTAAAGACACTTGCAACTACACCTAAATGTGATGTTTAGATCACAAATAAATATAGACATATGCATATAATTAGCAAATGCATTTGTATAATGACCATTGTGTTAACTCTGTTTAATTTCAAAATAAAATAATCAAGTATATCATCGTTGTATAAGAAAGTGTTGCACGCCGAATCAGTCAACTGGATTGGATCTTTAGTTTTGCCTTTTTGTCTTACGTTCTTTTCAAAGCCAATGATGTCGAATTATTGTCTTGCAAGTAAATAATAGAATCTATCAGCGATAGTTTATATAATTTTTCAAAATTGAACCAACTGACTGAATACTGCCTATTTTCGGATTTATCGATGGAATTATTTGGAATTCAATACACGTTTGCTTATTTTGCAGTTTTTATGCTGCAGATAATATGTTCATTGATACTCCTTTTGAATCTTATATTTTAGCATCTAAATTGATATAGCAAAACGGAAGTTCACTCTTTTACGTCTATGATTCTATACTAGGTGCAATGAAGTCAGATTTGTGAGTCTATAGTATACACATAAAATTTTTGTCTGTTCTTTTTTAACCTAGCTGATAAATGTCGTACTTTTCATTATCATCTGTAGTACTTACGAATTCTGGACCTAAATCCTTGTCCAACTGAACTTCCCTCCTTCCTATTAGAACTATTTTTTTAAACAGTTTTCTCCTATTGAGTTCTTGGATCAATGATTTACCCGTCTCTCCTGTATATCCTATCACAAAGGCCATTTTGTTTGATTTATCCAACGAATTAGTCTCCATTGAAAATCTGAAACAATGTTTTTATTTTGTCAGAATAAGGTACGTACATTTGATTTGAATAAAATTAAGGGCACCCTTTTTATATCGAAATACCAATTTTTTCGTTGACGTACATATTCCGAATCTTCTAGTTGTATCATGAATAGCACTAAAAAATTTTGGCACGCTTACCTCTACTTTTCATTTCATGAGGTTATGACACATGGTTTGAAATGCAATTTTTGAAATCTTGTAAAATCTTTGTTATCTTATCATAGTTTTTAAAAGAAAAAATGTGTCAATGTAATTTGTATGAAAAATCTAGAGAGAATCACGCGATAACACTAACGCTAGTAGCATTTTTGGTTCAAGAATATGGTATTGCACAATGTAGATTTAGTTTTTAAAATATGGGTTGAACTCAAGTGCTCTGGATTTAAAATGGTTATAAAAGTTAAGTTTCGCAAGTTAAATGAACAAATGAACATAGAATGATTTTTTTTTTGCTTGTTTGTTTGTTTATTTGGGGTTTTTTTGGGGGGAGGGGTGTGATTATTCGGGCGATTCCAATTATTGTTTTACAATTCAAATGAAAGAGGCACTTTCTGTATTAAGATCGTTGAATTGGACAACCATCTCATTGGATCAAAATATATATATTTTTTAAAACTTGAACTGCCATGAACTTATAGATCTATACTGTTCAAATATTACTAAACATTTGTTAAAATATTGATATACTATTAATAAAATAAATGTATGCCACAGAATGAAACGATCACAAATAACTAAGCACAATTATTAATATATATAACAACTTGCCTTAAATGAACTTTTTTTGTAAATATAGAATAGTGGTTGGTGTGGTCTTAACTTATACTGATAAGTTTCTAATTGTTTTTTTTTCCTTCCTCTTAGTGTATATCAGTATCAGTTTGAAAAAAAAATATTGAGAAAAAATTCAAAAAATCGTGTTCTTACCTTTAGAGGCTGTGTATGCATTGATTCATTAGATTACGAAAGCAGTCATACACAATTCCTACATACTACTATAAGCATGTTAAGTTTACACCATTTTACTGTTATATTTAAACACTCGGAACAAAAGAAATGTGATTCGGGTCAAATTTAAGGTTGGAATATTCAAATTTTAATCGTTCTACCTAATCATTCTACCTAGTCATTCTACCTAATTTACCATTTAAAAATTAATCGATTGTAGGATGAAATGTTATTTTTACGTCATTTACGAGTGTGTTTACCTATGTCAAACATTTTTTTCCGCTTCTGAATTATGATGAAATGTTATTTGGTTGAACTTAACAGATAATTAAAACGAACAAGACATATACAAGAATATAAGTATGATTTGTAATACACAATTGCTTTGATTTCAGATATTTTGTTTCAATCTATTCTAAAATCTAGTATACTATTGATTTATCGCCTTTATTGAAACATCACCAAAGACTTAAAAAGATTAGAATTTCTATTTAGTAATTTTTACTCTCGTTTGATGTCGTAAGATTTACTTCATGTAGATATTGTATATATATATGATGTGTACAAGTTGCGATTTTGTACATATTATAACATGTACAGAAATATTGTATATGTTATGACTTGTATGATGCAAAAATTTAAGTTATAACATGTACAACAGTACCTCGTACATGTTATAACATGTACAAAATATTGCTTAACAATGGTTTTAACTTGTACAAAATTTGAAAATAAAGATATGTACTATTATTGCAACACATGTCATTAACATCAATAATCTTTCCATCTTTTTTTTTATTCATTGCTCATCCATGTTGATGGGTTTTGTCCTTTTTTATACAGTTAATGACCAAATGAATAGTTTATATAATATCTTTTACACCTTTTCAAACACACATGTTGTTATCAAACATTATTTAGTATTTTCACCTAATGAATTATGTATTGGAGAATTTATAAGAAGTAGTGGATTCGTGAACGATAATCAACGAGTAACTTCCAAATTCACTACGTCTTATAGTGTGATCCAATGAATAGAGTATGCATAGGAGACCTTGCTTTAACTTTTGCCTTTTTAATAAAAGAGGGAGGAGGGGTATAATTAAAATTTTAAAGCATTGTTCTTAATTTTTTAGATGAAACATTTGTCTACTTTGTTGCAATTGAGGACATTTATGCTATTATTAAACAGAGTCACATTGTTGTATGCCATGGTGGACTGCATTAAACTAACAATGACCCGAAAACGCATAATACCAACATAAGCCGTGAAGTAATAAAAACATTTCTGAAACTTTGTGATCACTACATACTCTAAATAAAAAAACATTCTGAGCTTTGATTATTGTTCTTTATTATTCAATAAATTTCAAATGAATATGCTGCATTATTTAAATTTATTTTCAAATTTTGTACAAGTTAAAACCATGTTTAAGCAATATTTTGTACACGTTATAACATGTACGAGGTACTTTTGTACATGGCTTTGTTATAACTTGTATTTTTGCATTGTACAAGTTATAACATGTACAATATTTCTGTACATGTTAAAACATGTACAAAATCGCAACTTGTACACGACATATACACAGCCGACGTTTTGCATATTGGATTTGCATTGCAATATATTTTTATTTTTTTCTTCATTTGCGTCAACAACAAATAATAATTTACGTCAGTTTTAGTACAGGTACATGTAAGCATATGTGAAATTAACATAATTGTCGTGATATTTATATGGGTTATACAGCTTATACCACTTCAATCTGTAATTTGCCCTACCCCTTTCTTCTTGAGTGAACGTAGGCTTTCGAGCGATATAAATCTTAAACTGCATTTATTTACATCATAGCATGAGATAATCAGAAACCACTTTGACGTCATATATGACCATCAAATGAAATACAAGTCTGTCATATCTGGGTATTAGTAGGTAGCATGTCTAACGCTATATGACTCCGTTGTTTAACATGTATACTGTAATTTGATTCTTTCAAGAAGAAATTAAAAATTTTGTTCTCACCGACATGAATGTCCATTATACATTATTCGATTTATTACCTCGTTTTGTTTCGGTCTAAAAGATTCATTTTATCGCATGCAAAAGTGTTTAAAAAAATGAACTGTGCCAGTATGTCAATGCAATTTCATGTAGCGAACATGAAAGCTCATTGAAGTCCATGTACCTATAGTTTTTTATTAATATTTGTAACGGTAAATCATCTTAGTATATAAAACTGAATTGGCTATAAAATGGCGCAAATAAATAAACTACCTGTATTAATGCAAATGAAAATAATGTAGATTTCTTTTTTAAAATTGGCAAAAATACACCAACCACAGATTATGTTAAAAATCAGAAATTGAGTTTAAAAATTAAAAGAATCTCATTTTTTTTTCGGAACTATGAGATTTTTTGTTTAAGAAAAACAAAATGAATGCTTCCTGATAATGAGTTACTAGTACTTTTGACTTTTGTTTAAGTACGAATGAAATACATCATATACCTTCGAATTCGAAAACTAATCCTCATGTAGAGTTTGGAAAATTTTTAAGTCAGTCATCATTCGAAAATTTAACGGACGCCATCACGAGTTGGTTGACCGTCAGATGACGATGGATATGTTCCAATTGTCGAAACCACAATCTGTCCTCTTTATTACCGAATGAGACTTATCACCGAATTTTACTTCAGTGAGCGTAACAACGCGGGTGCCACATGTAAAAAAAGGATCTACTTACTCTCATAGAGCACCTGAACCCATCCCCGGTTTTTGATGGGGTTCATATTGATCAAGGTAGAACTGTCAGAACATGATTAAGGGTAGAGTTGTAAGAATGTGTTATAGGGTTGAAATATAAGAATGTTTGCTAAGGTAGAACCGTCAAAATGTTTTATAGGATATAACTGTCCACAACAGTACTAAGGTAAACATGTCCGTGATAAAGTATGTCCCGTTCCAGTGTAGAACTGATGTCAGATTATGTTTTAATTGAGAACTTTCACAATGTGTTCTATGGTAGAACTGTAAGAATTTGTTCCAGGGAGCAACTGTCAGCGTACCAAGGAAGAACTTCTTTGGTAGAATCTGTTCTTGAATTGAACGGTCAGAAATTGTTCTCAGGTAGATCTGTCTTAATGTGTCATAGAGTAGGACTGTACAATTCTGTTCTCGGGTAGAACAGTATAAAATGACGTTAATTAGAGCAGCTCACGAGGAAGTCAGGTGCAAATAGCTAAATTTTTCTGTAAGATTTTTTTTTAATTAAAGGATAAACTTGGTATTTGCGTTTCTCTTTGAAATAATAATTTTATAACTGATAGCATTTGTATGAAAGAAAAGAGATAAACTCACCAGTGAAACAGCTAACAAACCAACCAGAAAAATAAAAAAAACGACGTTAAGTGGGAAGAATGTCTCTTTACAAAATTTTAATCTCTAAACTGCCTCTGACAATCTTGGTGGTCTCGTGGTAAAATGCTCACTTCGAGTCCGGGCAGTTCAATCCCCGGTCAGTTAAAACCAAAGACTTGGATTTTTATTTGCTGCGCTTTTCTTTTAAGCACACGCACTAGGGAGTAAGAAAAAAAACTGGTCGGATCGACGTCAGAATTATGTGTCTGGGTAAGGTGACATGTATTCCTGTGTAAAAGAGGGACGAAAGATACCAGAAGGACAGTCAAACTCATAGATCGAAAACAAACTGACAACTGTGTAAGATTACCTTAAAATCATTCTCAGCGTGTCGTTTTTTTATAAAGCAAAGTTTATAGTCAAATCGCATTACCATGTTCTCATCCTGAATATGCATTCAATTTGCCGTTGGACGTTTAACAGCCAACCATCACCAAAACGTCCCAGAATCAATATATGTAACGGGGGCTATCAAAAATCTGCTATCATCGTGTATCTTATATGTGCACTATAAAACTTTTTATCAAGACGACAACGTCCAAGGATCAATCTTTAGAAATGAATGTTAAAGATATAGAGCACTAATATTATTTATCTTAGCGCGTTTATCACTTGTGTAATAGGGTCTATAGTCAGGACAAATAATTGTTCATTAAGGATTATTTCTGTTAGATTGACCATATACAATGATTGCACTTTTCACCATCCTTGTATGTTTTGCTGTAAATTCTGTATCAATCGAAGGTATTTATAACAATATCTAGTTATGTAATAGTGTTTATATAAATAGCCTTTTTTTAATATATGTATTGTACCTTTAGATCTGTTATTTATGTTACCTGTTATTGTACAAAAAAGAGGAAAACAATACCTATAAGGGAACATTAAAACAATACAATAATTTAACTGTTTATATATAATTGATATTTTCAATAAGTTGGTAAAAATTTTCCTCTCATCATTTGTTAATATTTAATGTATAATTTTCAGGATTTCGAAGACAAATTGGCAGCGATCATGATAAAAATGCTTATCTTTATTAAATCGTACATTATACAATGAGTTTCTTTTAGAAAGGCTGACGTTTATCGAATTCTTGGAACTGCAATTTTAAAAAACTTTCCAGTACATCAAAATATCATACAACCGTGTAGCTACAGATTGATTACACGATGCTCATTCCTAGTTGCGTCGAAAATGCCCCCCAAAAAAGTAAAATACCAAAAAACCGAACTCTAAGGAAAATTCAAATCAGAAAGTCTCCTATCAAATGGCAATATCAAAAGCTCAAACACATCAAACGAATGGAAATCAACTGTTATGTTCCTGACTTGGTACAGGCGTTTCCTTATGTAGAAAATGGTGGATTAAAAGTGGCAGTATAAATATGATTTTTTTTTAAAAGTCTTCAAAAACTATTATGCAATTGCCGTTTGATAAGGTAGATACGTGGTTAAAATGACTTCCGAAAAAAAAAAAAAAAACATTTATTCGCTTATGCAAATTGTCGAGCGAATATCATTTTTTTCAAAAGTCAAGGAACTACATATTTGCCGAAACAAACGATAATAATTGCTTTATTCCGTATTCTAAAAAAATGTATTTAATGACAAATGTATACCAAAATAACGTTAAGCGCGATGAATATCAATTGCTAACATTTTCTTTGGGTTGTACGTG